TTGATTTACGTTTACTGCGCCATTTAACATTTTGCTAGATTTCTCGGTATCTAGTGATTGTAAAAAGACGATTTATAGCTCGTTGGAATCGCCTCATCGAGACGAATCGAATGGTGGTAAGCTCATCTCTCTGTGATTAATATTGACGGAGTTATTACTTAAAAACCATTTAATATTTTTTAATTTCAGAAATTAATCTAGTGATTGAATTTCGATGTATCTTATACCATTAGATTCGTCTCATCAAGACGAATCGAATGGTAGTAAGATCGACTATCTAGGATCAATATTGGCAGAGTTATTACACAAAAACCATTAATATTTTTTTAATTTCGGAAATTAATCTAGTGATTGTATTTCGACGTATTTTATACCATTAGAACCGTCTCATCAAGACGAATCAAATGGCGGTAAGATCATCTCTCTACGATTAATATTGGCGAAGTTATGATACAATAAAGTTTTAAGTATAATTCTGACTAAAATTATGTTAATTTTTGGCCAGAATTATGATATACAAATATAAGAAATTTTTTATATAGTCACATCTCTTTATAATCACCAAATATGGACTGTCCCAAATGTGTGACTATAAAGAGAGTTGACTGTACTACTCTATTCTAGAATTAGTATTATTATAGTTTTTTTGAATTTCTTAGGGATTATCAGATACTTCATCAATAGTGGATCTTTCATTAATTATTGTTGAAAGTCTTTTAGGTGTATTTCGATTGGATTTTCTTCTAATATAATCTTGAAGAATAAGAGTTATTTCATCATCTTCTTGCTCAACTGCAAGTAAAGTGGCTGTTCGTGCTAATCCCCATACACGACCATATAAATTTCTTTTATGAACAGCCTTTTTAAGAATAGGAACAGTTATTGGGATCGTGACAGGTTTTCGTACAGATAATGTATTATTGTTCCTTCTTTATTGTTAAATATTACTTTTTCTTGCAGGTTTGTCTTATCTTGGTAAATATCCTTATACCATTTCTGAGGTATCATGCTGATATGAAATGCTGCGATTTTGGAATTCATCATAACACGAAAATAGTGACGACATATTATTCCCTTTGAAATAGACTTGAGACAAGAACACAGGTAGGATATTGCATTGATAATAATAATGAAATGTACATGATTTTTTCTTTCACTTCGTATATCTACAACTTTCCATATTTCTAACACTTCTTCTTGTCCTATTTCTTCGATCATAGCCTAAAGTGTAATAAAACGTGCGTCAAGTTGATCTTTAATAAAACCATTCGATGATTTATGAAGATTTTCCTTTAATAATAGCAAGGTATTATTTAACACTAAAGTATATTGCAACTCAATTATTTAGTAACAACATACCTGCTTACAATTTAATTCTTCGTTATTGAGTTCAATTATATTTGCAAACATTGAGATATTTCTGTCTTAATTGTATTATTAATAGGTTCAGTAAGATATTTATCAAGAATTTTTGTTACTATAGAAAACAAATCTTGCCCAGTCAACAGAAGAAGTATTTGTTGTAGTGGCTTGTTTGTATTTGTAAAACTGATTCCATCACTCTTCATTTTTTAGCCTTGAATCAAGTGATCAGCAATCTCACATAAGGTACTATTAGCTTTTAATTGTTGCTTTATAATCCAATTATAACCTTCAACTCTTGCAGTACTTTCAATACCAGCCATGAAAATTTTATGAAGGTATGCTTGAGCCCATGATTTAGAATTTTAATCTAATGTACGTAAAAGAATGTCTTTTGCCATTGGATAATCAATAAGTAATTGGTTCCATCTTTGCTTAAATAGTGGTTCACATAAACTATTGCGGTATTGATAGAACTGTTTGATGAAATCGTCCCATTTCTCACCTAATTTTGCTTTCAAATTTTTAGGTAAATTTTGCACAATATGAAAAATACAGTGAACTGGATATGTTTCAGAAAAAATGATTGGAATTGCTGCATCAAGAGCTGGATCAGCATCAGTAAACATAACAATTGGAGCTGTTTTAGTTGCTTTTTTGATGCATTTAAGTATCCACACATGTGTATCAAGAGATTCATCACTTACTAATACTTGACAAACTAGACAAGATTTACATTTATTATCGATTATTATGAAAACTTCCAACGGCATTTGATACTGATTTGTTCGAGCTGTATTATCGTTGATAACTACATCATGATATCTAAGCCACAGATCCACCTGATCTGAAGACATCCAAAGAAGACAAGTTAATCTATTGTCTTTATCTAATTCAAAATCAACAATCCAATGTAAGTCTTCAGCCTTTTTTTGCATTAATGTTGTAAGTAATGCAGATGTGTCATTATTAACTTTATCAGCAATTTTGTACTTATGAATTACGTTGGCCAGGCCTTGATCTTGAAAATGCAGATCTGGAAACCGGGCTTTTAAAAGATTCCTTTGTGCTGTAAGTGTTAAACTTCCATACTTTGTTATTAACAAAATTTCGTTAAGTGCTTCATTAGTAAATGTTCGATATTTTGTTGAAAATTCTTGAGTTTTAGGTATAAGTTCATGATTATGTTGATTAACAAATGTTGTAACCCCTATTTGTGTTGTTTGTTCAGGAAAGGTGAGATTTATATGCCATGGACAATTTAATTTTTTTGTTTTGGTATTCCGTTATGTTTCCTTTGATGCTGCTTTTACCAATTTTTTGGACTTATATTTTTCACTGAATTTACAAACTAAGGTTCTTTTATGAACTTGTCCTTTACTATTTCGTTTCATTTTATATTTAATAATTGCAAATCCATTTCTAGCACCATAATCATCAAAGTAGTTATCAACTTCGTCCCATGTATCAAATTTGATATCTTTAGGAATATCCTCAGTTTCAACTATAAGTATCAGATATTTACTATTAGTTAATATGTATAAAGATAGTAAAGATACATATGTATTTAAGATGTAGTTAATACTTGTTAAATTGTCACTATTTTCTTTATCTACGTTAATATATTCATTTACATTAATATATATATTTAACGCCTTCCATTTCTTGTACAATATTATCAATATTAACAGCAACTGGATACATATCCATTAGACTTATAGTATCTATTAAAAAGGAAGATACAAAAAATTCTTTCTGAATAATAGTTTTGGTTTGAGTTTTTTTTAGTTGGTATTAAAAATGAGAGAGAGAAATAAAGTTGTTTGTTTGTTTTTATTAAACGATGACTTTACTAGAGATATGGGTTTGTTTATGGCATATTTTTTTGATTTACATTAGGAAATGCGATATATCTTAAGTTTTGCTTTGCATAAAAATCTTTCATAAACCTATGAGGGGTTAAATATGTCATATATTTTGGTTTACATTAGGAAATGCGATATATCTTAGATTTCGCATTGCATAAAAATTTTCATAAAAGTATAAGGGGCTTTATTAGAACATTTCGAGAAGTTTATTTATATTTTTTCGGAAATGCGATGCATCTTAAATCTCACTTTGCATAAAAAATTTGGGTCATGTGTGATCATGTATTTTTAACCAATTAGATTACACTTTATATATCATGTTAGATTTAATTGGATCACCCCCGCTAGATATACATTTATCCTTATTTTAAATAGTTTTTGCTTTTTCTTATTATAATTTATATATAATTAAGAGAAATTTACATTTATATTTAAAAATATAATAAATTAACTTTAAAATTTAAATATTAAATTTATATTATTAAGTGGCAAAAACTTAAATTAGAAATTTGAAATTAATCCAATTTAAAAATAATTTTTCATTATTTTACATTTTTATTAATTCAATTCTACTTATTAAATTTTGCAAATATTATTATTTATATATAATAATATAATGGAATTAAAGATTATAATAATCATTTTACATAATAGTAATATATAATTGGATTCTTTGCAATAGAAAAAGGGGAAAATTGCTAAAACAAAATTTTTTTAGTTAATGCTAATTCTGGACAAATTAAATATTTAAAGCATTTTTAGTATATAAATATAAATTTAATTTTTCTGTTAGTTTCCCTTCTTAAAGTCCAATTATAAGAATTTATTTAAAAAAAATAGAAAAATTTTCACTAATTAAATAAAACTAATATAAACAAATATTTAAATTGATTTATTTTATTATTTTTATTAACAAAATTTTAATATTTTTAAATTTTAGCAAGTTATACTTTCAATTAAAACTTGTGAAATAACATATTTTTCATCATGTGAAACAGATGAATGAACCTTAATATTATTATTTCCTTTTTGACTAACATTATGGATCATTAAATATGGCTTTTCTAAAATAATATTAATTATTATATTAAGAAAAAAAAAATCAAAGTATTTAATAAAAAAATTGTTAATAATAATTATTCATGCCTTTAATTTTACTTATAGATATATCTTTCCATGTAAGACGATAATGAGGAAATAATGCTTTATAAGCTGCTTCTTTTAAAGTCCATCTTTTTTTTTAATAAACTTAATTAGAGACAAAAAAATCAAATAATTAGAATATATTAGAATCTTACCTAACAGCCAAGTATTTAATGATATTATTATTAATCATAATTTTATCTTGTTTTGAATTATTTTGTGATAAATTATTAGCACTAATCAAATTTTTTTTTTGATTAGATAAAAAAATATTAAATTCTTTTAATTCTCCATCTGACAAAATTCTTTTGGAAAAATGTAATAGGGATGTTGGTTTGCGTGTTAAAAGAGCTTTAATACGTGATAAATGGATAATATCTATTCCAATTCCAAGTATCATTTTAATATAACAAAATTTTAAAAAGCACGACTTTTTTAAAAAAAGATGCGGTGAAATCACGTGATAACTTAAATAATAAAACGAATAAATATTTAATACATATGTATGGTATACCAATATTATTCGATATAATAAATATAATAAAATTTAAAATTTACTTTTCCACTATTGTATAATTTCAGAGTTGTCTGTATACAGTAGTTTTATTATACGTATACTGTATTATGAAGACATAATCCATTTATGAAATATATATAATCATAATCATAATAAATAATAATAAAAAAAATAAAAAAAAAATTAATACAATGAGCAAACCATACAATTATTTATGCTACATGGTAAATTTCTCACTCATGTTCATTACATGAGATCTAAACAATTAAGATGATATTAAATTTAGCAAATTGTTTTAGATTATACATGAATTTTTTTTAGAAAAGGAAAAAACTTACGCGCTAAGTTGAGGTTTTTGAGCATATTTAGTTTTGAGAACCTCACGAATTGAATTCAATAATTCTTGATATGTAGGATGTGCATTTTTATTTAACCTATAATAAATTTATTTAAAAAAAAAAAGATTTAGTATTTGGATATTGATAAATGAAAATATTATTATATTACTTACGATGTGACCAAAGCATGTGACATAGCGCCAGTGACTACCTGTTCACCTGCCATTTGTGCATCAGCGGAAGTTTGCTCATCTTTACATCCACTGAACATAATGACATCAGCAGGGCTTCCCTTTGTCTCGATGTTCTTACGACGAATTTTCTGATACTCAGTTGCAGCATTTTTAATTTCTTTAATTGATTTTATAACACCACCTTTAATATAACTAAAACCTGCATTTATAATGCTTTTGCTTCCCAAAGAAAGAATGTTTGATTCTTTGACAACACCACGAGTGGAATAAACATATGGTAAATCAAGTACAGTTCCCGAATGACAACAATCGAATATAACAGTCAACCTTACTCCTAAAATAATCACATGATTTATTTGACGCATAATTTCGAGGAAATTTACAAAAGAAAAAAAAAATAAAGCTAACCTTTTGGAAGGGGGGCAACCATCAAAGCGTGCAATTCATCATCAATAATTTGTCCATTTGTCATAAAATCAACTGGCATAATAGTTTCATCATATCCATCTTCTTCATCCCCAGCCTCATCTTTAACTTGTCCTCCATGCCCACTATAATGGAAAAAGTATCTACAAAATAACAATTTGTAATAATCTCTAAGTTCTTTCCTTTTTGGTCAATTACCACAATCTGTTTTACACTCACGAATCGTTTTCTTGTGGATCGTGTACAAGCCATTTTATTGCTTTAATAATATTTTCTCTTGTCGGAAATAATTCCGGATCTAATTGTTCATCGGTTAGTATTTTCATATTTGATTCTTCAAATCCATAATGTCCTGTCAAAAACTTTTTGATATTGTTGACATCATTGATACAACCTTTTTTTTTTTAAAAAAAAAATATGGATTAATTAATTCTTTTTTTGACTGCCGGAGCCTCTAAAAAAATAAAAAATTACCCCTCAATTGATATTCGGAATGATAATAATTAATTCCAATTAAAACAGCTCTTTTACGTCCTGTACAAGTTGATGTCTGAAAATCGACTTTTTCGGTTGGTTTAACAAATAAACTATAATCATCCGGTAAGTCTTCGTTTGGTTGCTCTTGTTTTTGATATTTTACTTTTTTAATTTGACCATGAGAAGGCACGCTGGTTTCTACATATTTCTTAAAGAAATCAGAGGTAAAGGGATCCTCATTAAAATGACTAGTAAATTCTTGGAAGTCTTTAGGAATATTACCGCTACTACTACTACTACTATATGACGTAGTTGTTGTGGTTGTGGTAGTAGTTCCGTCTGGAGAAGTATAAGTTTTCGTTTCTTTATGAACTGACATGATAAACTTAACTTCCAAAAAGACAAAACTTTACTTCCTTTTTATATGTTTTCCACATATATGTTTTCCATATTTGATATCCATAATCAATTTCACCAAATTCATACTATTTATTCATCTGTTAAACCGGTATGAACTGGAACTTATTATTATCTTGTATGATGCACATTTGTGAGCCAAGAAAGATGGCAATTTGTAAAACGTGGTACTGTGAGTCTGTGATAGCTGACGTGCTTGCAAAGATCGGCATTTTTTGCGGATCATACATAAGAATAAGATCTAAATTTTGTGGTACGTGGTACGTACCATCAAAAAATCTTTTTATCAGTAGATTTCCATCACTTTATTTTAATTAAAATGACAAAATATTTTATTCAATTTGCTCAATGTATATGATTCTCATTGTGTTTACATTTTTTTGTTTGGTTAAATTAATTAATTGATATATTTTTAATTTAGCTCATGAAGAGTTTCGTTTACCTGAACTTGAATCTTTAGCACAAATTGAAAATGTAAAAATATCATACAATAAAGAAGAATACAAAAATAATGTAAGCAGTAATATTTTTTAAAAATTAAATAATCTAATTGAGATATTGAATGTGATTTGGTTAATTTCTAGTGTCCGTTTTTAATCATTGAAATTGATAATGAAGAAGAAGCAACTAGGCTTGTTAAAAGAGCAATTTTAATAAAGTGATTAATCAAATTTAATTGATTATTTATTTAGCATTTATGAAATTAAACTGATTAAAATTTTATAGGAATATATATGAATTATGGGGAGTGGGAAAAATTTATGAAGATGTTCACACTCAAGTGAAAGCCAAGCCTGAAAGATGGGTAAGCAATACTCGTCTTTTTATTTGGAAAAAACTTCGTTCTGATTTCTTTCTCCTTATTAATAACAGCCGGCGTATGACTATAAATCATTTAAATTTATAGTATCGGCATTTGGATCGACATGTTCATCGGATTATCAAATCAGAATAATCGATTCATTTGCGTATTTAGGATTTAAAGGAGATATTGATCTAAAAAATCCAGAAGTGACATTTGGTGTATTAGAAGATTATGGGTTAGATTCTGTACCGCCACTAGAACCTTTTATGATATATTTTGGAAGATTAGTATGTATTAGGTTACACTATCATGAAATTTCGATTAAAGCAAACTTATTCTTTAATTTGAACTTATTTATTTGCTGTTAGATTGCTTCAGGGAACCGCGACCTTATTCAAACTTTTAATTTGAAAAAACGAAAGTATATAGGAAATACATCGATGGATGCTGAATTATCATTAATAATGGCTAACCAAGCATTGGTACATGTTTATCATTTGTAACTTTCTCTGGGTTAATTTTACGACTAACATTATAATTTTTAAAAAAGGCTGTACCGGGTAAATTGATTTACGATCCGTTTGTTGGTACAGGCAGTTTTCTTTTTACTTGTGCACAATTTGGATCTTTTACGATGGGATCTGATATAGATGGACGGCAAATTCGTGGGCAAAGTAATTAAGTTTTTAATTGAATCATAAGCGGAAACTTGTTGAAAATCATTTTCAATTTTTTTTTTTTGGTGATTAGCTGATAGGTCTGTAAAGTCTAACGTGGAACAATATCATTTACAGGGAAAAGTCTTGGATACGCTTGTATTTGATATCTGTCATCATCCATGGCGGGATAATCTTTGGTTTGATGCTATAGTAACAGATCGTAAATAGATAGAATCTTCTTAAGAGTTAATATGCATTTGTAGGGGAAAATTTAATAATAGTTTTTTTTTTTTGTAATAGCTCCATATGGTGTTCGAGCAGGAGCGAAAACATTAGGAAGAAAGAATCCAACAAAACGACCATTAACTATTGATGGAACACACGAGTAAGGGAATGTTTTAATGTTCAAGGTTCATTAATTAAATAATCATTTTATTATACGTACTTTAAGGGGGAAAGATTACTATCCACCAACAAAACCATATGAAATGTCTGAAGTATTGTCTGACCTTTTGGAATTTGCTGCGAGATTTTTAGTTCTTGGAGGAAGATTAGTGTATTGGTTGCCAACACTAGTAGATGAGTGTGTACTCTTTTATTTTTTTTTCAAACTTTAAGTGCGCATATACTGTATTTATAACTATGTGATGATGCGAAATATAGATATTCAAGTTCAGATTTACCGGAACATTCATCAATGAGACTTGTATCAAATAGTGAACAAAATTTTGGTCAATGGTCAAGAAGATTAGTTACAATGGAAAAATTTAAAGATAATATCATAGGTGAACGTACTAATATACATAACGTAAGGGGGGTAGATAATCTTTCTTCTGTATATAAGAAAAATGATGTTAATTCTAATGAAGCAGAAACAACAAATACAAAAGAAAAGAAAAAACCTGGACATTATTTATTTAGAGAAAAGGTGAATAAATTACAGTAATTTTTGTTTAATAATACCTTTTTTATTTAATTTTTTTTTTTTTAAAAAAAAAAAATTAGTATTTTTCTTCTAAATCCGATAAAAAACAAATTTGGACAAGAAATAAAGATCAAAATCGAGATGATGATACAGACAATACTACATAATAACCTGTAAGCAAATCTGAAGTTGTTGCTAATTTTTATAGCGGTTTATGAATTTAATTGAACTTACGGATTTTGCATTTATTGATGCTTGTGGTTTTTGGAAGAAATAAAATATTGTGTATTTTACTCTTAAGTTTAAATAATTATAAAATAATTATATGTACGTTGACGTAAATGACGTAATATGTGGTTTCACGTGATATTTCCGGTGTCGCATCCAAAATAAATAGACAGATCATTTTTTTTTTTCTTGATTTTTTTGATTTTTTTTTCTAGTTCTATAAAATTTTTTGGTTTATGAATAAACTTTTTTCTTTTAGGATCTAATTTTAAACCATATTTATATTAGGTGTGTATCGTGGCTTTTAAAAATTAAATATTCTTCTTATATTAGAAGATAAAATTTAGTTGATCGACATTTTTCTATCTTTTCAGATTCATTTACTTAATAATGGAAGAGCAGATAGAGCAAGCAGTAGCTTTTGCGTTAAGTCCCACAGCGGATCAAAGCCTGAAAAGTCAGGTTGGTAGACAGTATAGTTAAGACTCAAAGAATTTTTTTCTAATGCAATGATTTGAGCTAATGTTCGTAGATAGTTGGAGATTTAAGTTATGACGCGTAATATGGTTTAAGAGAGTGTAATATTAATTTCTTTATTCCAATTTTTATGTTGTTTATTTGATTCTTTAAATTAATTTCTATAATTTTATTCCAAGAATAAAAATAAGCTGCTAATAATAACTCTGCATTAGTTGAAAAATTCTTGTAATTATTACTTGAAAATGATAATAATATATATTTTTTAATCAAATGGATCATTTTTTTAAAAAGCTAAAAAAATTCCAATCAAGTGTCCTAATGATGTATACGCATTTCTCGTTTGTTGGTTTAATTATGACATCGATTGTACTTTAGGCTATGAATTTTTGCGAACAAATAAAGGCATCTCTCGATGGTTGGCAATTAGGCCTATCCTTGTTCGTAAGATTTCCAAAAAGGTGTGTCCATTGTTTTTACACACTGAACTGATTAATATAAAATGTAGATTAGATATTATTATCATAACTTACTTTTAATTAACATCGCAGTTACCTTCCATCCTCCCTCTTTTAATATAATATATATGCGAATTATTTTTATCTAATTCAGTACACCAGAAGCTCGTTTGTTTGCTTTGCAAGTTTTGGAAGGTGTGATGCAAAATAGGTATCGATAAATAAATCATATGATCATCCGACGTGTTCTCTTTTTTCAATGTTTGCTTATTTTAACTTTGTCATATTCAGATTTTCAAGTCTTGACAAATCACAAGTCAATCATATTCAATCCACATTAATGGAATTTGTTAAACGAGAATATGTGATCGGGGAGGGCGATGGAGATGAACTTAGCACCGAGCCACAATGTCAGTTATTATAATTTTTTTTTTTTAATTAAATAGTTTATTTTATAAAAATATGAAAAATAAATTTCTTGATATGATTCGAATTTATTAACGTAGACCTAAAAAACAAATTCGCTCACACCTTAACTCTCCTGTTCGTTCAAATGTATCCGTCGGATTGGCACAATTTTTTCGACCAATTCCTGGAACTAATTCAGACAAATACGGTGAATGGAAATAAGACTAATATTCGTGTAGCAGATATATTTTTGAGAATCTTAATTTCAATTGATGATGAAGTTGCGAATATAGAAATTCAGAGAGGAAAAGAGCAAGCGAATAGGAACACAGCAATTGTTTGTATTCAATATACTTTATTATTGTTATTTTTTTTTTTAATTGATAGACACATTAATAGTATTCTCTGATAAATAATACGTGCTATAATCTCTTGCCAGAAAGACAATATGAGAGCAGGTGACGTACAAAAGCTAGCATCTACTTGGTATGAACTGCTGAGCGAATACCGTGTTCGAAATCAAGATATTGCTATTACGTGTTTGAACATCATTGGTCTTTATATTGGTAAATTACTTAGTTATCTCGCGTTTTATTCTTTGCAAGATTAATTAATGATTACCTCTATATATATTTTTTGTTTAATTAGCTTGGATCGATATTAATTTAATTGTAAATGACGCATTTATCGTGCTCTTATATGAATTATTAAATGACACAAGGCTTCGAATTGCCGCTTGTGAGTGTTTGACAGAGGTATTTGCATATTTACTGAGATTTTCTACGAATTAATTATTATTTCATTTTTGTCTTAAAAATAAATTGATTTTTTTTTTTCTAATAGATTGTATGCAAAGGAATGAAACCCGCAGAAAAACTCAAATTAATTGAGATCTTAAATTTGACTAATGTTATGGGAAATTTAGACTTAGTGAGTAAATGTATTCCTGCACTTTATAACTATATTCTATAATTAATTTATGTTAAATTTCTATAGACGGATGATATCGAATTTGTGGAACATGTGGCAAAGTTAACTAATGTGTTAGGTGTAGAATTATGTAAAATTTGGGAGGTAAATAATGATATATGGTTATTTTATGAGTTTATATTATTATCTTTCCATTTCATGATGCTTTAATTATAATTGAAGGCGGACACTGCAACAAAAGCTGCAGCTTATGGTCAAATAGAGCTTTTACTCCCATTTTTACTGAAATTTTTGGCAAACGAGTATGATGACGTTTCTTGTGCTGTATTTTCATTTGTATCAGCTTTACAGGCGATTGTGAGTATTTAAGTTTTCATGCATGTTCAAGCTTTTTGTTTCTTTAATACAAATTACATTATATTTTTAGTTTAAGAAACAAAAGAAGCAGGCCGGCTCTTTAGCAGGATCACAACGTGAATTCATAGATTCATTACTTAAGGTCATTGTCATCAAAATGAAATACGACGATGAAACAGATTGGGGCGGAACAGAGGAAGATGAAGTGGAAGAAGCCGAATTTTTAGAGATGCGAAAAGTTAATATTTATGAATGACCTATTCATTTATTCAGCAACTTGTTTATTTCTTTCAATATTAATTCAAATCATTTATCTCTTATAGAATCTAAAGACGTTTTTTGACGCAATTTATAATATCGATGAACAATTATTTACTTCCTATGTTCATACGGCTGTGATTAATACTCTGGACAAATATCAAAGGGTTGGAAATTCAATTGACTGGAGAGAACTTGAATTAGCTTTACACGTATTGCTGTTGTATGGCGAGGCATTTAAAGGACAGTTGATATTTGTACTAAAACATAACAATGAGATCATTGCGTTTACTCCTTTAGGGGAGATGGTTTCGAAAATGATTCAATGCAGTAAGTATATGAATTGTTATGTAATTTATTATTCGTGTTTATATATATATATATATTTTTAATAATTATGAAAATATTTTAATTAATAATCTTGTAATAGACATTTCAACATATCCACATCCATCAATGCCTTTGATATTTTTTGAAAACGTTGCACGTTATTACCAATTCTTTGAAGTACAACCAGATTGTATTCCCACAGTACTTGGAGCTTTTGTAGATTTGCGTGGGCTACATAACGCTATTTTACAAATTCGTACTCGATCATGGTATCTGTTCCATCGATTTGTGAAATTGCTCAAATCAAGAATGGGACCTTATGTAGAAACCGTATTAACTAATATTCAGGTTTAAATATTAGAATTGAGTGGATAATGGTACTTTTTCGGTAGATTAATAATAATTTTTAATATTTAGGATTTATTAGTTGTGCAAGCAAATCTTTCTTCAATTGATGTGTCAGATGGAACTATAACAAAAGATCAAGCAATGGAAGGAGGATTTGATGACCAAATATATCTTTTCGAAACTGTTGGTATATTGATCACAGTCGACACTATTCCTACTGAACGCCAAACTGAATTTGCAAAAGTAATTTCATAATAATTTGAAATTGTTTAATTGGTCAAATAGAGCTTGTAATTAATAATATTTTTGGCTGTCTAATAGATTGTTATCAATCCTCTGCTGGCGGATATTGAAAGAAATCTGAGTAAAGTAATGTCAGAACCCGAAGACCTTCTTCATGTGCTCCAGCTGCATCACTTAATTATAGCAATTGGTAGCATCGGAAAAGGTTCGCTTTTTTTTCGACATCAATTATTTTAGAGGGTCAATTTAGTTATTTTTTGTCTTTAATTTTCAGGTTTTCCTGATGCCCTAAAAACGGAGGTACCAACTGCCGAGTGGGTTGTATTATTAAAGCAATCTGTTGAAGTTATATTAGTCGCGTTTAAAGCTTTAAGTCGATTCGAAATTGTTCGAGAGTCTGTAAGTTTGAAAATCTCTTTCTTAAAAACAACTTAAATTTCATTATTGATACTTGTTTTTTAGGCGAGGTTTGCATTTGCGAGATTTGTAAATGTACTTGGTGTTGAGATTTTGCCTTATCTTCCAGAATTAATTACTGGATTACTTAATGAGAGCCAAGTTTCAGAATTAGTAGATTTCTTGCCCTTTATTGGTCTACTTTCTCATAAATTCAATGTATGTTTTCGCGATATTTTTTTTTTCCATTTCTTTCCTTATTGATGACGAGCACTAATACAATATTATCTTACAGCCATCAATTTATGATATTTTAAATGAATTAATTTGCCCTTTAGTTACCAAAATTTTTTATGTTTTAAATCAAACACCGTCTGGAACAGATGAAGCAATGCTATTGTTGAATCTTCGAAAAGCGTATCTTGGTTTTATATTAAGCCTTTTGAACGTTGGAATGGATGCAGTCTTTATTAGTGATTGTAAGTTGATGTTACATTTTGATCATTGTACTAGACTCTAATTTATTTCAAATTATCTAGTAAACCAACCGCGTTTAGAAAGTATACTTCAAAGTGTTGTTCATTATGCAAGTGATCCTGCTGACGTGCCATCAGCAAGGACAGCTTTTAATATTCTTTCAAAAACGTTGGTATTGTGGGGTGGCCCTATACAATCTTCAACAAATAACACATCCACTAATTCTGGTCGACCTCTTCCCGGTTTTGAACAATTTATGTATGATCATATATTGCGTATTTGTTTTGAAGTTCCAATGAAGCCTGAATTTTGCATAACTGATGGACAATCAAATTTGGTAATGTGAAGTGTATTTTTTAAAAATATTGAATAGAATATTTTACCAAATTTGTTTTGCTTTATTAGATACTAAATGAAATATCAAGTATACTTAAAACTATGTATTCACTACGAGGACATGAGTTACTTGACTATCTTAGAAGAGTTTGGTTGCCATTAGATTCTGCTGATGAATTTTTACAAGCTTTACAACAATTAGAACTAAAAGAATTCAGAAAATATTTTCAGGTATTTAATAATGATAATGATATTTGAATATTGTTTATATTACACTGATTAATATTTTAATTTGTTATTTAATTAGACATATGTTCAAAGATCCAAATCATGAGACGTGTATAATTTATTAGAAAGTTAATTAATTAAAAAAAAATGTAGTTGCTAAGCTATGTAAAACACTGGTTAATTTGAAAGCATTTAGTTTTTAGTTTTTACTGGATTTCATTTAGCCTTGATATTAAAGTTTAAGCCAGAATTCATTTGTTAATGATTTCAAAATTATTTCTTTTATATGTTTGTTTTCTTTACCAACACATTTTATTTTTGTTTTATTTTTTAATTTCAAAAATAATTTATTTATATACATAATTGCAAATATTTGAATTTTCTTGAATTTGAAATAAATTCAATATTCAGAGTTTCAGACAACTTTTTTATTAATATATGAATAAATAAAATTTTTGGCCGTTATATTAAAAATAAGTTAATGTATGATTTTACAATCATTAAAATTGCCTGTAGAATTATACTATCAACTACAGTTTATGTAAATAAATTCTTTTAATGCAATTAATATTCTGTTTTTTTTAATAATTTTACATATATTTATGAGAAAAATAAAATTTTTCTCTGTAAAATTTTATTCGAATGATTTATCTAGTCCCTATATTTCTCTAATTTGTTAAATAAATTAACATTTTACTATTTATTAAAAATTTTTTACATATGAAATTTTATATAAATTAAGAAATTTCTAAATTTAATAAATTTAATATAAAATTATTTTATCAAGTTAAAAAAGCCAATTTACTATCAATTAATTTAAGGTAAGCAATATTTTCAAATTTACTATAGTTTTTATTCTTCTAATATCGCGATGAGCTTTTTATTCTATATTATTAATAATCTAGCTGAGCTGATTCTATTAATTTAATAATTATATTTCACATCAAAGTAATACTGCAGCATATACTTCACTTATTTGTATTTTTATGTTTTTTGATTTTTTTTATTTCGCAAAATTTCTAGTAAAAAAAATAGTATTATTCAAACTCTTTTTTCTGACCATTTTCAAGGGTGCTGAGCAATTTTAATTTTTGTGAAATCACATACTATGTTGTTGAGCACCAGTGTGTGTTTTAGTAAAGTCGATTTGGGTGAGGGTAAAGTAACGTAAATCCTAAGTTTCGTTATACCGGAACCTGATCATAAGTAAAATCTTGATTGGATTATCATAACGTATAATTAATTTACCCTCAATATAACGGAATTCTTGATATAACGGATTTTTGACAAATTTTACTAATGGAACGGATGGTTCCATTATATCGAATTGCACTGTATATTCCACATCAACAAATATCATTATGCATGAAAATCTGAAAAGCCTCATTCATATATTTAAACGTATAAACACATTTACAAGTATTTTTTCATTCTAGCTAAACTTTTAATTTAAACTAATAAATTGGTAATTTAACGATGAATATATATAGATGTCTAAATTGAAATAATGCAGTTTGATAATTGTAATGATTAAAATATAAAGAAATTAAGTATTCGATTAGTTCCTCTTCATTCTTGAAATTTATCAAGCTGAATATGAGTAAGAAAACGAACCAAATCAGTATACTTGTTTTCTATAAAAAAGATAACTAAAAAATTTTTGCGAAAACTGATTACCTGTAAAGTTAATGTTTTACTGCTGTTCACCTCTTGATCTCGATAGATTCCAACTAAAGCTTGTGCCTTTTCATACAAAGTACTTTTAAGAGAGATGACGATAAATTGGAAGGTGTCAGAGGCGTGTTCTCGAATGTAATTGGCAATTTTACCAACGTTAGTATTATCCAATGCAGCATCTACCTCATCAAGTACAAAGAAAGGTGATGGCTGGTAACTATGAATAGCGAAAAGTAATGCTAATGCTGCCATAGTTTTTTCACCGCCAGACAATTGTTCCATATCTCTAAAACGTTTCATTGGAGGCATAGCATGATATTTGACTCCATCTAAATATGGTTCCTATAACATAAAAAAAGATATTATATTTCTCAATATGTATTTAATAAAAACAACTTATCAAAATAATTTATTCATTCATGTTATTCATATTTACCTCATTGTCTTCTAAACTGAGGTATGCTGTACCGCCCAAAGGAAAACTGCGACTTTTTGTCAGATCTTTATATATTCGATCGATGTTTTTCTCAATATGATCATAAGCTGCGCGGAATCGTTTGCATCTGTTTAGAAGATTAAGTATATTTGTAAAAATATTCAAACGTTCACATTTCCATTTTAATTAAAATAAAAAAAAAAGTAACCTTTTTTGCTTGACATTATTAAACCTATCCTTTGCTGTTTTAGCTTCTCTCCTTGCGCTATCAAATTCCTTTTCTGTGTCATGCAAACGTTGTTCTATACCGTCCAAACTTATGATTAACATAATAAACTTTAGTAAACAATTTTAATTATGTATTATGTAACATATAATAAAATATAAACATAATTGAAAATATTTACCGTTCAATGGCTTTTAAAATAGGAGCTATTTCTTCCATTTTTGCAGATTTCTCATCAAGTTTCTTTTCAAACTCATTTGCAATTTCAATCCCGTCATTCTAAATTAAACAAGAAAATTTAAGATTTAAGAATAATTTAATAAATGAAATAATTTTTTTTTTCCTTCTATTAACCTCCTTAAGATCATCAGTCAATGAACTATAATCAACTTGAACATTCCAACCAGAACTTGTTGCCGTAGAACTAGGTCCAGCTCTATTTGACGATAAAACGTCATCTTCATCTATATCCATCTCATCATCGTCTTGGAACCGCTATAATAACGATTATTATTAAATAATGAAATCATTAAGAATAAACTGGTCATGAAATCGAAATCAAACCATACCGAGTCTTTTATTGGTATATCATCAAGTGATCCTCTTTCAAGAGGTAAATGGATTTCTTCCAATTTACATTTACGGAATATAGAAAATTGATCTGCTTCTAACTTCTCTATATCCGATTCCTTTAATTAATAAGCGATAAACTATCATTAAAACATCACAACAGAATGTAATAATAAATAATCCTATAGATATTAATTTTAAAAAATACCTTGTTTACAATTTCTTTCATCATTCGTTCAATCTCTTTTGTTATTTGGGATAACTTCCTCTTTGCCACATTAACAGCATCGGTTTTCTCGTCAAAAGATTCCTTTATTTCATTTAATGCATTCTGTGCTTCAGCAATTTGATCAGAAATAAGCTTTTTATCCCTCAATAATTGTTCTTTTTCTTGTCCGAGTTGAGTCAACCTCTCAGTATCATTTTTTATCGCTGCTTCGAGTTTATTTAGCCGATCTTCTGCTTCTTTCCTTTGCTCTGATTCGAACTTCAATCTTAAAAAACACATCAATACCCACGTAATTTAATAATAATGATAGTAAGAAACAATAATAATACGTACTGATTTTGAAGCCTTGATTTTAAAGTTGTAAATTTCAATCTCTTCTCGGCCATTTCTTGCGCCAACTGAAGTTGACGCTGTTCATATTCACGAATATTAGCAACTTGAATTTTCGCACAGAAGTCCTCAAAAATGGTATCTTCAATACTATGTATTGTATTTTCTAACTGTGTAATTTGATTTTCAAAATTTGTTAAATCTGAATGAGCCTAAAAGTAAAATTAGAACATAAATACTTAGTAGGCGATATTCGTCAAAGTTTGAACTTTAATAGATAAATTTTCCATAAATACCTTTCTCCATCTTGGCTGTAATTCATTAGTTTCACTAGCGATAAAATTTAATTCGCTATTTATTGATTCGAGCTTACGTGTGATAACACTCTAATCAAATATTAGTTTTTATTATTGTTATTATTTTGAATAATCAATCTGAGTTGATTTGGGAATTTTTTTTTTTTTTACCAATTCTTCCTGGGAAAATTTCAGCCTAGACTCTAGTCCAGATATTTCGCTCTTCTTTTGTTCTTCAAAATTTCCCCTTCGTTTAGATTTGCTCAAGTTATTCAATTTGGATAAAAGATCATCTCTCTGACGTCTTAATTCTATAAAATATTATAAGTTGGCTTATATTTATAAAATTGAAAAAAAGTAGTCATTTATTTTACCATCAATATTGTCAGCGCGTCTCTTTTCTGCTACTCTTTTTGCGCCGGTTAAAATATCATCGCTATGCCCGCCAGTAACCAAACCACTCTTATGGATAATCGTACCATCAAGTGTAACAGCTTATTTAAAAATTATTATTCAAAACGTAAGTTATCATAAACCATAAGCTAGTAAAGAAAAATAACTTTAAAGTTTACCTTTAACCTGCTGATTTTTTTCATAGCAGATGTATTTAGCTATCTCCAAAGTATCACAAACCAGAGTATTTCCACAAGCATATTGAAATGCTCTTTCTAGCTTATCATTATAAGTAATGACATCAATCGCCAATCTAGCCCCTTTCATGAAGCTACGATATTTGTCATTTATTGGTTTAACTACAATTGTGTCGAGAGGAATAAATGTAGCATGACCAAGACGTTGTTCACGTATATACTATTATAGTTATTAATTTGTTGATTAATAAAAGTGCTTTTTTAAGTAAATAATACGAAATTACAATAAAGTACCTGTATACATTCAATAGCGGTTTTCTGTTGATCAACAATGATAGCATCCATATTTCTCCCAAGAATTATTGATACTGGTACAGCATATTTACGTTGACTAGGGGTGAATAAATCTAGAAGACGTCCGTGAACACCTGAAAAGACCCTCTTCAAACTCTCTAAACATTCCTTCATCTTTTGTTCTCGTTCCGATTCCCTTTGGTCTACACTGGCTACCGTAAGTTTGTTAAGTGTTTCTTGTAATTCTCGATTATATTGAGTTTCTTGTTGACTAAATAATTAAATAAATTCTTAATTAAATAAAGTACAATAAACCCATTTTTTTTTCAACAATAAAATATTAATTTTGTAATCTTATAATATACTTTATAGAATTCCTTTCGGCAACAGCGGCTTCAAGTTCTTTCCTGGCAGCTTCAAGGTCCGCATTTAATTGCGTCACATATGAACCAACCTGATACAGTTTTAAAAAAATAAATAACTAAAAAAAAAGGAACGCAAAATTGAAAAAAATTTCATAAGATTACCTTTTCTTTTTGATCAGAAACCGCCAGTTTCTCTTCCTCTAATTGTTTACGGCGTCTATCTAAATCTTCCATTTTTTCTTTTAATCGATGAGTAGATTCGCGACATGTTTTTTCTTGTCGTCTAACATTTACTAGTCGTTGTTTTTCATTAACAGTTTTCTTATTTGCCGCTTCTCTCCTAGTAATTCAATAAATTATAGGTTGAGTAATTATAGAAGAATATTAAAATCCAATGTTGAACACCAAATACCCATCGTACAGAAACTGTACTTTCTACTATATTCAGCCATATCTTCAGCATTAAGTCTTTTATTACTGCCACCTCCAGCTCGTAAAGAAGCTGTGTATAATAATAAATCAGTATAATTGTAATATTTAATAAGAGCTCTAAAATATCAAATATCATACCTTCATATTGCTCTGCAGATCTAGTTATTTTGTCTAATTCTGATTGTAATTCTACAACATGATTCGTCTAAATAAATATATACATAAATATTTTTTAAAAGAAATAATGTTAATTATGAAAGACAAAATATAGTAAAGAAACTACGTGAATAAATGTAATGCATTTTATGATTTATTAGTTTCCTTACTTGACGATCGAAATCCTTTCGAACTCTTTCAGCATCTTGCTCATACTGACTCAACTTCCTTTTGGAATGAAATATTTTCTCCTCAACAGTAAGTAAAGCCGGACGCTAAATAAAAACTATATTATATAGATTCCTTTGTCTATTGCTATAAATTTCAACGTCATAAAAAAATTTGTAAAATAACCTTTTCTTCCAATTCTTTTTCTTTGGATTTAATAACACCTTCCATTTGAAAATATTCTTTATGAACTTTTGATTGTTCCAATCTGGCTTCCTTTAATTCTGAATCAAATTTTTTCTGCAAAAATTAAATAGAAAGTGTTAGTCAAATATTTGAACATACAAATATTATAATTAAATTATACCTGTTCTCTTTGTCTTCTTCTTATGACATCGTTATGCTCATCAATCTCTCCCTTGTACCCTTGTATATTCTGTTGGATATGAAATAATTTCCAGAGAAGATAATCGACTAAAATTTGGGTCTAAATATATTATAAAGTCAGGTATTGGTAGAGAAAAGAAAACAAATTAGCAAATTGATAGAAAACAGCTATACTCTTTCAGCCTGTAATTTCTCAAACTGTTGCGCTTGGGCTTTCTGTCTTTGATATTCTTGTATCTCCGAATTAATTCCACGTTTTTTGTTAAAATTAAACGCGGAATTCTCTGTTGCTCGTTCTTGCTGAACTTTTAATTGCTCATATTCGGCTTTCAATTCCAATGATCTGGAAAATAAAAAAAAAATTATCAAGAGTTTTTAATATAAAGTCAAGCCTATTAAATGAATATGTAATTTATATAATTACCCGCTGATTTGTTCAATCAATCTAGTTAGATCTTTAGGAGATTGAGATGCGATAGCTTCAACATCACCCTGGTTAATTGGAGCAACATTTGGTTAACTTTTAAATATCAACATGGTATTCGACAAATAGATTTATTACCAAAATGTAATACCTGGAAAACTAAAAAGTTTCGCGCTTTTACCAATATATTTTGTTGTTCCAAAGTAGAATTATACTTCGCATATGTAACAGGTTTATTATTTATTTTATATTCACTTGCGCCAGATGTTGTTATACTTATATATTGAAAATTTTTATTAAATATAATTATATTAAATAAATAATAATTCTATATTTGTGAATACCTTCTTGTAAATTTAATTTCATTTCCATTATCATCTTTATATACGGCCATGACCCAAGCTCGCTTTGGATTATTGGTACGTCCTTCAATAGCCATTCCATCAGTGACCTCTTCGTCATCATCTTGCATAGCTCGACCTCGATAGATCAAATCTTTAAGCTGAGATGATCGTAATTGAGCAGATTTTATTCCAAGAACAAAGGAAATAGCATCCATAAGATTTGATTTTCCTAATTAAACAATGTACAAAAAGTACAATTAAAACAAAGTTCAAATTAGCGAAAGAACCGCTTATTTTAAATAGGCCATACAATAATAAAAAAAGTGAATTAAAAAATAATTCATTTTCCAAAATATGCTCGCGCCCATATTTAAGAAGTGTTTAACTGCTTAAAGAAAACTCGTCATGATTTTTTTATAAACCTACTATACCTGCTCCATTAGGACCAATTACCGATGTAAAATTATGAAAAGGCCCAATAGTCTGCAGTCCTTTGTACGATTTGAAGTTTTCGAGTTCAAGTCGATCAAGCCGACCCATTTTAAAGGACTTTATAAGCCGGAGCTATAAATCTAGTGAGAGTACCCTTTTGAAGCAACTTATAAAAAAAAGGTTTCTTAAGAATTAGAACTTCTGTCTATGAAACTTAAATTCTTGAAATATGGGACAGAATTACGTAGAATTACGCGTGCTTAAACGACTAAATTTGTGCAGTCTAATTTTAGGTTCTAACTCGCATCTCATTGGGTAAATTTTGTGACGTCAACCCTGCGATAAAACATAAGTATTTCACAAGATCTAAAAAAATTTGCTCCCCCTCTTACAATTTAATTTTGCAGAGTAAAAAAGGTAAGTGAATTTTATTCGATCTTATCCATCCTCATTAAATAAATCCGTTAAACCATTTCCTTTATGCTTAATAACGATTATTGCTTATAGGCATACCATGGCCCTTCCTGCTGACATCTATAACGAAACTTCACAAGGCATTCGTTTATTCAACAAATGGACCTACGAAGATGTTGAAGTCAAAGATATATCCTTGACAGATTATATTCAAATTCGAAACCCAGTATATTTATCACATACTGCTGGTCGCTTTTCCACAAAAAGGTTTAGGAAAGCTCAGGTATAGGCACAAAATTTTAAATTTATAATTGTGGTAGATTATTCGATTATCAATAATTTAAAATGAGACCTCATATAATTGATTACATATTCTTTCGTTTAATTAGTGCCCTGTCGTCGAACGATTAACAAACTCACTTATGATGCACGGTCGTAATAATGGCAAAAAACTAATGGCAGTTAGGATTGTAAAACACGCATTTGAGATCATTCATCTGCTAACTGATCAAAATCCTATTCAAGTTTTAGTTGATGCCATTATTAATACTGGTCCACGTGAAGATTCAACCCGCATTGGTAGTGCTGGAACTGTAAGAAGACAAGCAGTTGATGTGTCCCCTCTTCGTCGAGTAAATCAAGCTATCGCACTATTAACAACTGGAGTATGTCTCATATATATATTATATATATATTTTTAACAATCTCATTACTAATTGATAAAAAAAATATCATAGACACGCGAATCGGCATTCAGAAATGTTAAGAGTATTGCAGAATGCTTGGCCGATGAACTTATTAATGCTGCTAGTTTGTATCTTATTTGTGTAATGTTGAAATTTCGTGAAAAATATTTATTAATCATTTTATATTTTAGAGGGAAGTTCCAATTCGTATGCCATTAAAAAGAAAGACGAACTTGGTGAGTGAAACGTTTATTCATGATAACTATATTTCACAAGTTTATTAACCGTTTTTCTTTATTTACAGAACGTGTCGCTAAATCTAATCGTTAAAAGATGTTAATCCGTATTTTTATTCTCATCAAATCATTTAGAAAAGTAATCAGAGTAATGTTATTATTTTAATAAAAGTTTTCTTTTTTTATCTATAACTAAAAGAATAATAGATATTATTTACATGTAAATATCCAGTCCCAATTTACACCAAAGTTCTTTATATGATTACTTGTAAATTACAATTCATTTTATTGATTAAAAATAAATATTTCATATTTCGTATAGTTAGGCAAGCAAGCTACAAGAATAATATACAAGCGTACCCATAAGTTTTGTTTTTACAATTTAGCTTTTATCGGACCCGAACTATCCCATTTTCTCGCAATCAATTTAATAATATTTTTACTTGATACACATTCTGTTTCCATGGTCTAAAAAATTGTATTAATTAAATTTTTTTTTTTTTTTTAATATAAAAGCAATAATTAACAAAAACATACCGAAATAAAAGGTTCAAAAGAATTGATATAAAAGAAATTTTCGTCGGGTTCTAAAGGCGGAAAAGTTTGATTTGGCAAGAGTTTAGGATAACTTTTCCATACTTTACGAAAAGTCCAAGAACGACTGATATAAAGTCTATCAAGCATCTCGTCAGATAATTCTTGATGTGAAAATAACTTATTAATAGTTTCTCCATTTGGAAGTCGCAATTTTCCTGCAAAAGATAAAAATTCACATTTTCCGCTGTTAGTTGTTACAATCTGTTCGGGAATATCTTCAATTTTGGAACGACCAAAATAGGCTGGATTAACGTGTCCTGTGACTAAAGTAACGTGAAGTGTCACATATGGGATCTTCTTAATTTTAAGATTCATATTTTCAAATTCAATTCCAGTAAATTGCTGTAAAATTATTTAGTTAGCAATTTCTAAAAATTATATGAATATCAAAAAAAAAAGGAAATGGAAAAAAAAAATATTAAAAAAAAAAGTTTACAATAGGAGCGGCCAGAATAATTGCATCATACTCTTCAGAAGAACCATCTTTCGATTTTACAACGTATTTTACGTTGTTGATGCCATCAGGCGATGGCAATTTCGTTACTTTAACTACTCTTGTATCCAATTTCAAATTAGCACCAGAAAACTCGACGAATTTTTCAAATAATTGAAAATTTCCGCCTTTAATGCTTTTCGCTCCTTGGGGCGCTAAACTAATAAAGGCACCTAGTGCGTGTAATTCCGCTAGATTCTGTCCATAATTAACGCGAGTCATTGGTTCAACAAAGTGCTGAAGATAGAGCTGGTTGATTTTTTCTAACTCGGAAAAATAATACTGAGCTGTGAATTTTAGTTCTTTGTTTAATTGAAGCCGTTCTGACTCTGAATCTATACTAGTATAAGGTTCATCAAATTTATACTCTTCTAAGAATTTTCCGACAATTTCTTTTACTAGGTTTTGAACCTTTAAATTAAACAAAAACAAAAGTGAAATTATATTCACGTGATTAAAATTTTTTTACGGATTCATACTTTTTTAGGAGCCAATCCATATTTCCACAAAATTCTTAAAGTGTCCCAATATGGATTAGAAGATTGTTCAAAGACGAATTCTTCGCCATTCCATCTATTGAAATCAAAGAATTAGATCTGCTTTAATTTGATATGAATGATCTCTGTGTTCACTTACATTCCCGTTTTCGAATCTTCCATTTCTTCTCCATAATTTATAAATTCTAACCCAAATTTCTTCGAATTTTCTACTATATGATAATTAACATCAACAAAAATAGATGCTCCCAACTCGATAGGGATGGTTATACCATCGCGTTCAAAATTAATAATTTCAGTACGTCCACCAATGCGTGACGATTGTTCATAAACTGTAGTATCGACTTTAACAGAAGAATTCACAAAAGCATTTGAAATCCAATAGGCAGCTGAAGAACCTCCGGCACCAGCACCTATCAAAACATTAATAATAAAGTAAATATTAATAATTTAATTATAATTATAAATATAAATGTGAATGCGACTTTCAATAAGTACTTGCCAATTATTGCAAGTTTTTTGACTTGTTGATTTTGCTGAGGTACCTCAAAGTGAGCAACTTGTATTGTGAAGATCAAGTTAATATAAAAGGCAAATACTAAGTAAAAAATGAATACCCAACGCAAGTTTCCCGAGTGCCTCATTATGTTAAGTTGAAAGAAAGTGAAAGGTTTTAGATGAATGAAGCAGTGTTGTCCTATAAAAATATGTCATGATATATCTAAACTACTACCCCGGTCTAAAGTTTAATAGCTATATTTATAATCGTGTAACGACGTTTAAGATGAATATGGTATATTAATCTAATGTCTCGGAAATAGCAAACCATAATTAAAATTCTCCTTTTTTGTTAATTTTGAATTTACGTGTGCAAAACAGGAAAGTATGCTTTCTTCTTTTTCTTCTTAAGAAGATATAAATTCGATTCTTAAATTTTATTATATGATTCTATATTAAATAAGTAAAATAACGAATGCTAAATGAATGATAGACCTTTTTATTAAATATTATATAATTTTGTAATCCTCCTACTTTTCAAATCTTAAAGGGAAGGGAGAAATTTACATTAAAAAATCATTAATTTCAAATATAATACTATTGACTATTTTTGAGAAGAAGAATAATGCTTCATAATATGATTAGTAATTTGTTTCTTTGTGATCAAGTCATCACACTTAATACAACATTTTAATAATAAATTATAAGTTTCTAAATCAGGATATACGGGAGGATATTCTTTAGACATTTGATGTCTTAAAACATCCAAACAATAAGTTGATTCTCGTATATTTTGCGAAGAAGCTTTAATAAACGTTTTGTAAAAATTTAAATTACGATGATATCCAGATAAAAACATATCAAACCAAATATGTCTCATTTCACTAAAAGAATGTATACATCCATATAATTCCAGTAACGTTAACATTGATTTTTGATTATGCTTTGCTTTATGAATTTTAATTAAATTATTTATATGTTTGATTTTCTCTTTGATCTTTAATCTTATAGGTTTAAAATCTATGTCGGTAAATCGTTCATATTTTGGAATACATGAATCTAGTAATGTTTGAAATATCTCTATATTATTCATATCATATCCAAAAGATTTCATCATATTAAATATTCCTAAAGTATTTTCTATACGTTGTAAAGTTTGTTTAGACGAATTATATTCTGGTGAATTAGCATGACCTTCCAATAATATTTTAAATGTCTCAAATGTTGGTTCAATTCCATCACCTTTCATCTCATAAATCATATTTAATGCTTCATTTAAAGGAAATTCTTGATGATTAATTTGATTGGACAATATATGAAATCTAATCGTTAATTCAAAATGATCTTTATTATATTTTGAATTTGATAATTTCACTTCATTTAATAATTTCTTCCAGGAAACGTAAAATGAACTTTGTGTAAAATTATCTTTCGTTAAGTAATTTAAAGGATTATTCATGTTTTCTTTTGATGTTATCAAAGATGTATTTTTTTTAATTTGTTCTTCAAGATTTTTAATCCGAAAAGAAATTTCCTTATGTAAAGCTTGAACATAAGCCTTCATCAAAATTGTAGAGAAATTGAATTGCCAACTTTTTTGTTGTGATGATTCTGATTGTTCGTGTATAGTAATAAATTTAAAATATTTATTTATTAAATATTCGGCTTCTTGATAAACTCCCAAATCAGCATAATAAGATAATAAAATATAAAGAGGTTCTCTAGATGGTATATAATTATATTGTAAAATAAGTTTATCTAAATTTTTTATTGCAAGATCCACTAAAGATTTTCTTGATAATGCCCAAATAAGTTCAGAATAAATTGTTGGAGTCATTACAGTTTGTTCTAGTGATTGGATTTTTTGTAATATCTCATCGAATTTTTTACAGGGTCCGGGATAAGTCCCTAATGCCTACACAACAAAAAAGAAAGCAAAAAAGATGATTTTAAGAAATTATAATATATTGAGAAAGAATAACACTATACTCTATACTCTAGACTTACTCGAATAATTAATCGCCAAGTTTCTTCTGTGAAATTATGATAATTTGGATTAGAATTTAAGAATATTTCACTTAATTCTTTTACTTCCTTAAAATAATTTAGGTCGCTTGTTGAATATAATTTATGTGAAGTTGTTAAAGAACGAAATATAGAATTCCACATATCCAAATCAAGTTTTATGTTCAAATTTTTGTAAGCAATTTTTGATGATTTAATAAATGGTATTTGCCCATTCACGATAGATTTTAATACATGTAATGAAAGAAAATGATCAGAAGATACTTCAACAACATCTAATAGGTATTTATATGTCTCTTTTGTAGGTGAAATAGAAGATTTTGTTGTATCATTATAAATTTGGGAGAATATTTCTAAAGCACTATTTAAATCTGATGCTTTATGACACATTTGAAGTAATATATGATAAATTTCTAATGTTGGTAAAATGTTCTTTTCTTTTAAATCGATAAATTCTTTGGTAACAGCTTCAAGATTATTAGTATCTAGAAAATTCTTCATGCGCTCAAGATGTATTTGTGCTTTATCTACTTGTGATGTTATTTCTGGTGTTGTTGAAATATCGTGAAGTAGAAGTATGTTATTTGCAGCCGAATTCAGAATATGTTCATGAGTTGAATATGATGAAGCTAATAATAAAGAAATATGGAACATAAGAATATTTCAATTTGCCAAGTATATAAAAATTTAATCATTCTTTACTCTTTATAGAAATATAGTTATCGTTACCAAAAGCTCTTGAATTGGATAAAATTCGAAATAATGAATTATTTTGAACATTATATTTTTGAAAAATAAAATATTGAGTTATTATATTATGAGAATGATATTTAGTTAAAGGAGAACGTATTACTTTTAGACATGTTGAGGCAAAGCGAGTTTGAAAAACCATTATTTATAAATCAAATATTTCTATTATATTATATATCTAAAAAGTATAATTCACCGCTCCCTTTGTATTAATAAATAAAAAAAAAAAAAAAATTATTGATTATCAAATTTTTTTCCTGTGATCTGAATAGTTAGCACGTAAGATTCATTACGTGCATAACGTTACGAATACTGCGGTAAAAAAAAAAATTATATAATTGGACATTTAGCGAGATATTTTCTTATTTCAAACTTTTTTACGATGGAAAGGCTTCAACGACTTTTCGGAGCGGCTGCCGCCAGTCACCAACCTGGCATGGATACTCCAACCGTGGACAACGCGGAAATGGTTTATATTTCTTCTTTAGCTTTGCTTAAGGTAAACAACCATAAAATTTGGACAAACAAAAAGCAGATCAAAATGCTTTGAGTCCGGTTTATTATTTGATTATCGTTTGTGATTATAAAAAACTTTGGTTTGCTCGGACATAATTTATCCATATTCAAGCGAGCAAGAATGCTAGTATTTTATTACACTAATCACAATATACATACTAATCATTTGTTTTTAATTCGATTGATTGAAAGATGCTAAAGCACGGTTAGTATCTGTTCCGAAGTATTATTACGTATTATTTAATATAAATTCATATTTTTTTTTTAATGATTTATATACAGGACGTGCCGGTGTGCCCATGGAAGTTATGGGTTTGATGCTTGGTGAATTTGTGGATGATTATACTGTACGTGTAATTGACGTATTTGCTATGCCTCAAAGTGGTACAGGTGTCTCCGTGGAAGCAGTTGATCCAGTTTTCCAGACAAAAATGTTGGACATGCTGAAGCAGACCGGACGGTACGAATTATTAGATACTAGATTCATGTGATCTGACATTAACAAACAAATTTTCGTGTTATAGGCCTGAAATGGTAGTTGGCTGGTATCATTCTCATCCTGGATTTGGATGTTGGTTATCTAGTGTAGATATAAACACGCAACAGAGTTTTGAGGCATTGAATCAAAGAGCAGTGGCTGTTGTTGTTGATCCTATACAGTCTGTTAAAGGCAAAGTGGTTATTGATGCTTTTCGTTTGATCAATCCACAAATGCTTATGCTTGGACAAGAGCCACGTCAAACTACATCCAATATCGGCCATCTTAATAAACCAAGTATTCAAGTATGATTAGTTTATTTTTAAATAATTATCTTAATTATATACTTTTTAACTTTATTACTTTTATTTTAGGCTTTGATCCATGGATTGAATCGTCACTATTATTCGATTGCAATTAATTATCGAAAGAATGAATTGGAACAGAAAATGTTGCTCAATCTACATAAGAAAAATTGGACTCACGGACTAACATTGACAAACTTTACGGAACATACCGAAATTAATGAAAAAGGAGTCAATGTAATTTCTCTTTTTTTCTTGTTTTTGTAGAAAACTGTCCATGAATTAAAACTTATTCTTAATTTTTCTTTTTAGTCAATGCTTACATTGGCAGAATCCTACAACAAATCGGTACAAGAGGAATCAACTATGACACCTGAACAATTAAAAACTCGACATGTCGGAAAACAAGATCCCAAACGTCATTTGGAGGAAAGTGTGGAAGAAACTATGTCTAATAATATAGTAATGGCACTAGGAACTATGATTGATTCAGTTAGTTTCGTAGACACCAACCAAAAAAAATAAAAAAGCAGGAATTGCTACACACTTACAAAATTGTTGGATTATAAATTTTATAACCATATTTATTAGCAGTTAGTTATCAGCTTTACTTGTACTTACTTATTTTAGACATTTATTACATTTATCATACATCTATAGTACATTTATTTAATTAAATCTACGATGTTAGCTTTAATTAATAACTCCTATCCAGTGTTAATTTGTTTATATAATTCGGTTTCACATATTCAATAAAACAGGGTAAATCCATAGATCTTGGTTCGAACAATGCAATGTCATAAATCTTGTTGGATTAATATTCTATTTCAAATTCAAATTTATATAATAATATTTGTTCCTATTTGCAGTTGCGTATATTATTGCATATTTTTAGGTAGTATATAATATAAATGCATGCCACCAAATTTGTGAAAAAATACAAAATTTCCTTAATAATTCCAATTCACCAAATCTTTTATGGTAAATAACGAATGTATTACATGTAGATCTCTGTGTTTAATCCGATATTTGACACATGATTTTCTCATGAAGCAGTGATAAATTTTTTTCCATTAGACCCATATAGGCGCATACACTTGGAATATTTCCCCTATAAAAAATCTCACCCTCCTTCCTACAAATCAATAACACATGGCTGAAAGCATAATTTATGAAGATACTCCCTTCGCTGAGTATCTTGCAGGTATGCAAGTTTTTCTTGTCAATAAAGCTCCTTTTTTTAAAAAAAGGTATCTCTAAACCTCAAATCATTTTTTGTTTATGTAGAGATCGGTAGTAAAGAAGAGCTAATAAAGCAACCTGAGATATTTGAACTTGAAAGGCAATTTTCACAACATAGCGAAGCTGAAATGAATTTTATCGCTCGACTTACGTGTGATACTATCGAGTATCTTAAGGTTTTCATCGGTTTCTAAGTTTCTTATTCCTATATTAACACGTTCATTCGTTAATAACAATCTTATTTGATAATTTTGTAGGAAGCTTTTTCAACAGCTTTGCCAATACAAGAAGAAAATCAGTTCGAAGAACGCTTTAAATACCTATTATGTACATCACACCTTTTAAATGATACATTGTCGATTTACTTCTATGACAGTAAAAAACCTAGTATAACAGAACTTAGGGAATCCGGATTATATGCTGGTGGACTTTCGCGACGAAATTTTGAAGTTCTTTTTAGTGCAGTAATCGGGTTGACAATTGTATTCTTGACATGGTTGATACATGATGCAGAAGCCAAAGATTTTAGAACAACAATGATTCGATTACCTGCTGCATTCCTTTTGGCTATGTTCGCTTCCTTTTTCTTATACCGTCGCATGGTAACTATTAATGTTTATTAATCTTAAAATTAAATTTAATTAATTTGATCGATCATATCATTATTTAATTAAATTTAGCGACGAAAAGCTGTCAAGACGTTATATGATTCCGCATTACATTACATGGAAACACTTGTATATAATTGCCAAAATCTCGATTTAAAGATCAATAAAGCGTTAATTATGATTCAAGAGATTGAGTTAGTATCTCGTGGTTATAGATTGTATCCTTTTTATATTATATTGATCAATTAGATGATATATGTTACTTTGTCTATGTTTTCGTTGTAATTTTATCTTTAACGTTATATCAGATCAATGCCATTGTCTCCAATTTCTCGTATAGAACAAAATTCAAACAATCGACGTTGTCTTGCACTTCGGGAAACTGTATATAATATACTTCAAGAAGCTTTTTTGACCTATCATAATGCTATAGTTGTTATGAAACCAGAAATTTCAAACCATAATTTAAATATTATGTATAACATGTATAATATCGTTCCGTGTAATGAAGATGATGAATGGATTAAGGAAGAAGAGAATGATACACATTCTTTGGAGAATTTGAAATTATGTTTTCAGAAAATGCACACGAAACGTAGAGAATGTCTTTGTCATTTCCTTGCACTGGATGTAATGACACCCGGAAGAGATTCTCATCGAAGAGATTATGAAAGCCATTGGGCAGCAGTTAATAATCACTTAAATAATTTGAGTGTGGTTACTGGACTTTTCTTGGATAGGGTTATTGTTGCTTCGGCTAGCGAATTATGTATATATTTCTCCTTATTTGTTTTTTTTATTCTTTAATTGGAATTATTTAATTAATTAATTCTTACATTTCTTCAGACACAATACCATCATCTAAACAAGATTTTATGTCTCAACCATCTCCTGCTATCATTACCAATAAGAAACTTAAGTCTTATCTTCATCGTCTTGCATGTATAGAACAGCATATTCGTGGTATTCAAGCTAAATTATATATTTGTAATGAGGATGCTCGCAAATTCTACGAAACTGAAGGTAAAATTTTGGATATAATATTCTATCATATGCTTAACGTTAACATAATATATAATGCTATTATTAGGAGCGTCGAATGAAAATGAAAAAGAATGCCTAATGAATCAATACGAATCTATAAGCAAAGATTTTACTTATATTTTCCAGGAATGGGAAGAGGGAAAGAGAGTATTGAAGGAAATGACGGACCCGATACCAAGAGATCCAGATTCTATTGGGCCACATCAGTCTTCAGTTGAAAATGTTGAAATTCCAAATAATAACAATGAACCTATAGAAAATAGTTCCGAGAAACCTCTCATTGATTGGACACAAACGGATGAACCATTAGATGTACCTGCACAAGTATTCGAAGCAGAGGCTGAACCAGAAGTTATAAAAAAGGTAATTATTTGCTTATATTATTAGTTCTTTAGTATCTTGTATTAATATATGTGTAATTCTTTTTAGAAGTTAACGAGAGAAGAAAGGATTACCATTCAAAAAGCCAAGAGAACACAAGAGGTACGAATTATATTACATATTTTTTTATTTAACCGCAATCTAATATATGTAATAATTCTATATTAGGAGAAGGCAAAGTCTGTACGTCAGGATTCTGAACGTATGGTACATGAGTTGAAAGATGTATTAGTACGGCGGAAGCCCATGAATTATGAAAGTGAGATGTTAAAGTCCTCTTCAGAAGAACCAGAACGAATACAATTGCATGGTTCTCGTGTTGCTGTTGCAACAAATTAAACATAACAATGTTATATAAACATGTTATTTAAAATTAATTATATAAAAATTTAGTAATATAATTATTTTATTACAATACATTTTATTTATAGACAATATTTAAATACGGTAGTTTTATCTACAGTATAGCCGTCAATTATTTAATGACACCTTAAAAAACATCCCCTTAGATAAGGGAGATTTTTTGTCTCTTCATACAATATTGTATGATTACTATTTTTTTTTCCCATAACACATAACACAAATAGTAATTAGCACACTAATTATTATCAATAAAATCTTTTTTTTTGAATTTGTAAATTCTCATCTCTAAAAATTAAACAACGATTTTTTAATAGATTTAATAGAAAAAAAAATAAGTTTTATTAGAATTTAAATAAAAATTTTTATGTTTTTTTATTTTGAATGATATTATTGTAACTTATAATTAGATCAGGTTTTTGATCATATTGTGAAATGGGTACCAATTTATCCTTCAATATTTGAGAATCTAACGCTAGCGCGACTGTTAAAAATTTGGTTATTACAACTCTTGTAGTAATAAAAGAGAAAACGGATGTATTTTGTTTACAATACTTACTCGTTTTTGGTGTTGGTTTATTTTGGTAAATTTGTTGACATTTGGTTAAATATTTATCATAATAACTATAATAAAAGTGAGACGATTTAGTATTTTACATAAAATAATACTTAATGCAAGTAGAAAATTACCCTTTTCCATGACCTAATCTATTTCCTTGATAATCGAATGCTAAACCTATATATAAATAACATCAATTAATATCAATTAAATATTTTTTAGGAAGATTCTTATAATATTGATTTACCTGGCATTATTATCAGATCTAATTCATCGGCTAAATATAATTTTTTTATTTTTTAATATTAGATAAAAAAAATCAAATTTTTAAAAACTAGAGTCTGATTGTATTACCTATTTTCCTTATTTCATTATGATCTGGTTCAGGTATATTCCACCGATTTACAGGTAATGATAAGTAATCTTTATAAGAAAAAAGTTTTACCATTTCCATTTCATCATTATTCCATCTCGGTACATAACATGTCTTTTCTACAATAGTAATTTTTAGATAAAACAGTCTAAAAGCCAAAAAAACTAATTAAAGAGAAAATAAAATAAAGACCTCGTTCAAATATATCTTTAATTATTTGTTTTGTAGAACTTTCACCTTTTGGCATGCTAATATATATGCTAATATGATTACTTGTTAAATATTCTTCTGAATTAATGAGTTTTTCTGTTACAATACTACCTATGGTTTTAAAAAAAAATATCAGAATAATTCTTTGTCCAACTATCAAAACCTTAATTGGATTATAATTATCCATAATAAAATTAACTAAATACATACTTTCATGTTCTATTACTTCTAGTGGAATTTGATTTAATAACATGCGCATTTCCTTCCTCAAAGCGTTCTTCATAGACCTTAATGATTGATTCATATTGTTAATTTTTAAAAGATTAATCAGCTTAAATTTTCAGTTTTATGTATGAATTTTTAGAGGAATTTTTAGAGGAAATCTCGGATTATTGATTGGGTGCCAGTTTAAATCAATACAAATCGGTGATCTAACTGGCCCATAACAAAAATTTGATCAATAAAAAAAAAATTCTTATGAAATTTACAATACAAATAAAAATTGTGGGAACAAATTCTTTTATACTCATTATTTTACCAATAAATAGAAAAAATTAGCTTAATAATCACATATTGTGGAAAAATTTGAATTATTGCAATATTAAAAAAAAAAGGTTTTTCCTAATATATTTGTTATTATATTAGTGTAGCTTCACTGTTAATTAAAGCAATTAACAATGAAACACTTAGTTGCGGTGATGAAAATAACCGGTTCATATCACCTTTTAAATGACTCTTGGGCATCAGTGATAAATAAATTAAATAAATTATCGAAAAATTATTAGAACCTTTGAAGCTGAATAATAGATGATTTTTTCTTTTCAAATCCCTCTTATGATTTTCAAATAAAGCGACTTTACCAAATTCTAACTATTCAATTAAGTCTAATTAATTATCTGTTTACCAGTACGCTTATTAGATAAACATAAGTATAAGCATTTGATTATACAAAAAATGAAATGATATGACAATCTTCCAGAACATATTACTCCTTCCCATCAAATTCCAATAAATTCTCGTCAATATCCAAATTACATACCGGAATCATCTACAAATACTGATAATGCCAAATGCTTCAGTAAATACTCAAATAATTATGTGTAGTCAAATTATTACATGAACTTCCTTTCGTGCATATTAATTTTTTGTTTATAAAAATTATCTTTGCGCACTTCTTCCTCCCCTTATCTTGGTCTAATGTGATATGATATCGTAGATCAATAACCGATCTGGTAAATTCTTCGATTGCGACAAGTTTTTTGTTCGTACATCGATTGTGAATGCTCTGATCGAATATTGAGCTTCACCTTTGTCAAGTGAATCCAAGACAATGTTTGTAAATAATCCCCACAATCTCATTAAGTTATTCTTCCACACCGTTTCTTGGGAAAAGGCAGCAGTCGCGTTTCTTTCTAATCCCGATCATAATTGGCCTGTATCTTTTTTTTGGAGCTATGACTGACGCGTACTGCTTGCCTATAGTTACAACATACTTCTATTGTCTTTTGTTTTATTTTTCAAGATACATTCGCTGCTATTGGACAACAGCATTTTAGAATTGTTACCCTTCGCCAACTGAACCAGGTGCTGACATAGCTTTCCTCTGTTAGTTTGCATTTCTTTCTCTGTTCTTGGCATATTCTTGCTCATTTTTTTGGAGCAAGAGTTCAGGATTTAGTTCCAAATATGAACTACTTTTTTTATCCCTTTTTAGTATTTTGATATCGATAATCTGCGGTTTGCTTAAAATGCCGCAGTTGTGTAACCAAATTTTTTTTTTTTTTTTTTTTTAAAATAAAAAAAAAAATTAAAAATCAATCAGATTAGTCTTTTTTTTATATCCATCCGTTTAAAAGTAAAGGAACGGTATTTTATTTCATTATGGTAAAGTATTTAAAATTAATTTATGAAGGATTATCGAATCAATTTGTTAAGAGAAATTTGAGAAAAAGCACAAGTTAACCTTAGGGCATCTTTGTTGCAAATACATGCAAAGTTTTTATTCTTCTATGAATGTCTTACATTCACGGAAGATGAAAATAAAAACTTGTATTAGAGCAAACATATAATAAACCAACAAAAAAAAAGCTTGTATGACTAATTCAAGTGTTTTTTTTTATTTATTGTTTGCTCAATGACCCCACTTTTACATGATAATTCGGTATTTTATTCGAATCTCATGTAATGTAGCCGCCTAAGAATAAGCCTAAACAGAAAAAAGTAGCACCTGCTCCTTATCCTGTTAAGAAAAAGGATACAGGAAAGTCTACTAAAAACCCATTATTTGAGAAAAGACCAAGAAACTTTGGGATTGGTGAGTGATCTAATTCTTTGATTGGTGGAAAGATAATTTATAATTTTTTTTTCAAAGGAATTAATGTGAAATAGTGATATTAAAAAATTTAATATATCTCAACCACTTATCTTAATCTTTCGGTTATCTTACATTTCATGTTATATAGGTCAAGATATTCAACCTAAAAGAGATTTAACCCGCTTCGTTAAGTGGCCCAAGTATGTTCGTCTTCAAAGACAAAAAAGGATTCTTAACCAACGTCTTAAAGTTCCACCGGCAATTAATCAATTCACCAAATCCCTTGACAAGACCACTGCAACTAATGCGTTTAAACTTCTTCACAAATATCGTCCTGAAACCAAAGTCGAAAAAAAAGAACGTCTTCAACTTATAGCAAAAAGTAAGGCTGATGGTGGAAAATATGAACCTAAAAAACCTTATGTAATCAAATATGGTATCAATCATATTACCGCGTTGGTTGAAGCCAAAAAAGCCAAATTAGTATTAATCGCTCATGATGTTGATCCAATTGAAATTGTTATATGGTTACCGGCTTTATGTAAAAAAATGCAAGTTCCATATGCTATTATTAATGGAAAAGCTAGATTAGGAGCCGTAGTTCATAAAAAAACCGCTACCGCTTTAGCTTTTGCTGATATTAAAGATGAAGATAAAAGTGCATTCGGTAATTTAATTAATTCTATCAAGATTAATTATAATGAAAAATATGAAGAACATAAGAAGCAATGGGGTGGTGGTATTATGGGTGTTAAATCTCAAGCTATGATGAGAAAACGTGAAAAGGCTGCTGGTAGAGAAATAAAAGCCGTTTAATTTTGATTTTTCTTTATTTACGTTAATAAATTATTAATATTCTTATGTTAATAAAATAAAAGTTCCGGATCGCTTTATTTTTTCATTTATGAATTATATTATGCGCAGTAAAATAGAAATTTTTTTGTGATATTTACATTTACATTTACAAAGTGATATTTACATCTACAAAGTAATCATCCACTAAAAAAACTAATTGATTTTTGGACTAGTGTGAACCGTAATCTAAAAGGCTTACTCTTTTTTAATGCCTATAATTAATTTGGTCTAGATCATCATCCTTCTGACTGATTAAATTTCTTCCGGGAAGTAAATTTGATATTTCACGGACAATCTTCTAATATTTACGGAATTGATGAAACTTTTTACTAATCCGAATTTCATAAAACTTTTGTACTATAATATATATGTTACATACCATTTCATCCAGATATAGAACGAGAAAGCGGAGAAAGCGGGAATTTTCACTTATATAATCACAAGCAAATTTCCCATATTTAGATGTGATTTTTATCCAGTTAGCAAGACGGATGAGTTGAGAGATTTTTTTTTTCAAGTTGAAGCGAGAATAAAATGACATCACTTTTTAATTTAGAAATAAAAATTGAACGAGTTTCTTTGTTGTAAGATGTAGATACGACTAGATAATCATGTGAAAATACTGAACATATCGGGATTCGCCGCAACGGCCAGGAGTGACATTTCTAGTTGCAATTATTTACTTTAATAAAGAAAGTGCGTTTTTGGTGGAATCGGGAATCAGATAAAGTAAAATTGGGTTGTTATCCTTGTAAGACAACACTTTATATTTAGATAAATTAATTTTTCACACGCCCTTACGATTAAATAATCTGGTAGTAAGTCACTGCAAGTTCATTGAAGTGGCTCAGTTGAAATTAGCGTTAGGTGCGGACAAGTCTAAACGCGATAGTAACATTTTTAACCTAAAGTAATTTAATAAGCAAATTATTTAAATATCAACCCTAAAGATAGGATGATAATAAAGAGTGGATTTATGGATTATTGAATTGTTAGCAGTGCCGAACTTATGACTAAGTTTGGCACAAATGTTTTGTTGATGACTACCTAACGAAGATTATCCCCCATAATATGTTGTGTGACAAGGGACAGCACGTGTTTGTGACATCTTCTTTAATTGTGATTTCTCGTTCATCTCACAAAATCTAAGGGGAAAGATGACATGAAATTTTGACAAAAGTTTAATGATTTTCAAACTCGACTTTTTATTATTCTGTACACCTGGCAACGAGACACCAAAACAATCAGATCACAAGTAAAAGATTCGTGTGACATGCTATTATCGATACTTGATTATATCATTTGTTAATACAGTATATCATAGTCTTCTCACCTGCTTGCAGTTCTTTTCCCTTTAAACACCAAATGCAATAAGATACTTCATTAAGACGATAAGTTACAAGAAGCGTGTAAAAGCAAAATATTTATCTTGTATTTCCCCTTAAACCTTGCAACCTTTAGGTGTTTGCATTTTCAAAATTTCTTTTGTTAAATAAATAATAAAAAAGCGAAGGACCTCTGAAAAAAATATATATATTTTATATATATATACACACGTATTTGGTAAAATTTTTTAACAGTTAAAAAATGGGTCTTACTTATCGTACGTATTTGAATGGTAACCGCATTTTTGGATGCAGTAAATGCCGAACTCACTTATCCACGACCGACAGTATTATTTCAAAGGTTATATTATATTTTAATAATAATACTTGCTGTTGAAATCACTTTTGAGAATTTCGAAATAATAAGTGATTCTTTATTCGCTATAGCAATTTCAAGGTCAACATGGGCGTGCTTATCTCTTTGAGACTGTGTAGGTTCCCATTTATTATTAAGCTTGTAGTTATTCTATGCATATTTTAAACCCTGGTTTTTTTATAAAAAACTTTTTCCCTTCAGAGTTAATGTTGAGGAAGGACCTTCCGAAGACCGCCATATGACTACTGGTTTACATACTGTTAAGGATATCCATTGTTCCCGCTGTCGATCTGTGCTGGGATGGAAATACGTATGCATTATCGCTTAATGTATTATTGATTTCGTTGAATTCTTTGATTCGTTTATTTATATATTTTCTCGAATTTTATTATATAGGAAAGAGCGTATGAGCAGAATCAACGTTACAAAGAAGGAAAATATATTCTGGAGAAGCAACTACTCACCGATGTCAATTGATGAATAAAGTTAAATAAGTGTTATTTTACAAACAGCTATTTTGATTAACAAAAGAAATACTATGACTTTACATTAATTCAAGTAATTTATGCTCTCTAACTTGGATAACCTTAACCTTTGGCCTACTGTGAAATAGTTTATACCCAACCCCTTATTTTTGTTATATCTCTTCTTGTGCATATATGCTAATTTCCCCATTTTTTCCTTTAATTCCAATTAATTAGATGAACTGATCAGTCGGTTTTTTTTTTTTTTACTTTCCTCCTTTTTGTTATGTATACTGTATTCTAAGTAGTTAATATAAATTTTATTGATTTTTTGTTTACATTCCCTTTATAATATGGGCCTTGGGTTCGGTTAGAAAAGGCTGAGAGCTTTTAAGTTTGTTTATACGCTTTATTAACTATACTTATTTTGTTATATATATATATGTATATATATATATATTTTTTTTTTTTTTTTTTTTTTTTGCTAATTTCGTTTGGTTTTTTTTTGTATTATTTCAAAGTTAGGAAAATCAAACATACAATATTCAAGCTTTCACCCTGCGATTTTTTAAATAAACAATTTTTTTCTTTTTTTTAAAAAAAACTCTTTTTATTCCTTTTAACAACCAATGCTAAATTTTTATGGGCTGCTGAATTCATAACAAATTTCATGGATATGCAAATAATTCCCTGTGAGTATTGTGGAGGTATCATTTTGCTTTGTTTTGGGAAATATTTTAATAACTGAAAAAAAAGTTGAAACATTAACTTAGAGAAGAATTTACAAATTATGAAATTGTACATACAATAGTTCATATATAATTATTAGAATTTAATTAATTGCTTGTAGGTATTTAGCTACAAGCGTGTAATTATTTATTAATTATTAGTAAATCATTTCAGTCAATGATCAAGGTTAGTAAGATTTCAATAGAACAGGTAAAGTGAATGTTATTCATCTTCATTAATTCTTTTTTTTATGAATTTATATAATTGTTTAATTTTTATTTTGCTTAATTAAAAAAGGATAAAATAAACTTAAACTTATAAGCATATTTCTTTTAAAAAAAAGTAAAAAAGTTGAATTAAAAAATATATATAAATTAGAAGTTAGAAAATTATACAAAGCCGTATGGCCAGAGTTATGCAGACATAAATATGTGTTTCTTACATAATTACATATTAATCTGTGCATTCAAAGGAAAAAAGGTTTTAAGATTTTTTTTTTCAAAATTCAAACGGTTTCGCGATAAACAGGTTTTTGTAGTCAAAACGATACTGCTGTTATTACGTCAATGATCTGCATTTTTACAAATGAATTTTTCCGCTGTGACACACGATAAACATTACATAAATCCTATTATTCCGTTTTGTGTGACTTGATAATTTATTAAGGATCAAATTTTTTCTTTGCGTTTACTAAACAATGTTTATAAAAGTAGATTTAACTTCTACTTTAAGACCTGTCTTAGTGGAAGGAGAAACGATTCTTGCAATACAAGATAACGTTGGACTTTATGATGGGTATGTTAGATTTTTAAATATTAATTAATTGACTTTGATAACTTATGTTGAATCTAATATACAGTAATGAGAAGGCAGCTAAATATATGAGTGGAAATGTATATTTAACCTCACACCGAATTATTTATGTTGATTCTGAACGACCAAAGGATAATTCTATTGGAGTCGAAATTAGACTTATTAAGGGTAGAGAATTTTATGTAAGGAGTTCATTATTTTGATTTATACTAAAAAATTTTTTTACCCTTTTCTTTAATTATACGAAAAAAAATTATTGTCTTACGAAAAATTACTTTTTTTTTTATTGTGAATAATTATCTTCTGGAATAGATAGGCAGGCTTTGTTAAATCTTCACCAAAAATAACACTAAAATTTTCAGATTCCAATAATAATTTAAGTCCCAGTTCCAACAATAATCCGTATTTATCATCACCTTCAGCTTCTACATTATCATTTCAAAATACTCTTTCTTCTACTTGGATATGTACAATTTGTTCTTTTTCAAATAAATCACAAAATACTAAGTGTCAACTTTGCGGTGTAAAAAGGCCAGAGAATCTTAATTCTAGTACGCCTCCATCTAGCATTTCTTCTTCCTCTGGAATTTTCTCTCAGCATACAACAACACATCAAGATTCACATGATAACAATGTTGAAGCTGACGAAAGTGATGGCATAGCATGTCCACAATGTACATTTTTAAATCACCCTTATATGATCAATTGTGAGATGTGTGAAGCAAAATTGAAAACTCTTGATATTGATGATGAGATATTTAAAGAAGACTTTGTGAAATTGGCTTTTCGTAATGGAGGTGCTATCGCTTTTTATGACAAAATGAAACAAGCGATGAATATGAAAGGATGGGAAGTAAGTTCAAAAAAAGTTAATTTCCTTATTCAATTAATTGATGTCTAAAAAATTTTTATTAATTAATTTATTTATTTAGAAACCCGTAGAATCTACTAAACCTCCTGCAGATTTTGATCCTGTTCGCGGAGGAATTAGTAAATACATTGACTATTTTCTCTAGAAAAAATGATATTACAATGATGTTAATTTTATTATTCCTTTACTAGGTGGTATAATGCGTAATGCTGAAAAGAACAAAAAGGAACAGGATGAATATTTGAATCAAGCATTTAAAGATATGGAATCATTGAAAACGATAACGGAAGAAATGGTATTTTTTTGGAATTACTTTTATTAATAAAAAAAACTTTTATTTATAAATATTATATATTATAAATTGTTTTTAGGTTAAACTTGCACAATCAATTAATAATAGATTAAGTAAAGAATCAGCAGAATCCGGGGCTTCAGCCGATGAAATTACCGCTTTTAAAACCGATTTGTTTAAGCTTGGTATCACAAAGTATGGTTAAAAAAATAATAAATTCAAGTTTTTTAAAAGATATGAAATTAAAATTATGGTTTTTTTTTATAGGGATGAAGCTGGTTCAACCTACCATCAAGAACTAGCAAGAGAACTTGCAGAATTCTTAGAAAATGTATTGGTCAAAGATGATAAAATGATGTCTTTAACAGACATTTATTGCATATTTAATAAGGCTAGGGGAGTTGGTAAGGAAAAAAATATATTTGTATTGTTCATCAATATTTATAATCATTATTAATTTTATTTTGTATACTTAAATAGCATTGATTTCCCCTAGTGATTTACAAAAGGCGTGTTCTTTATTTGAACGATTAAACTTACCTTTCAGATTGAGAAAATTTGAAAGTGGATTGTCAGTTGTTCAATCAGATATCCTTTTATTTGCATTTATATTATTATTTTCACTTACGTATATTTTGTATTATATTATTTCATTCTTAATTTGAAGTTTACTGGCTCATAGCGATGATCAGATAGCACAACGTGTTCTAGAATGTATTCGATCAAAGGGATCATTAAGTGCTATTGAGCTTGCTTCAATGGAACAGAAAAGCGTAGTCTTAGTAAATGAACAATTACAGGTATATTATATAATAATTGATTTGTCTTTAATTGCAATTCTTTTAAAAACTTTTTTGATTCAAACAGATGGTGGAGGCCAAAGGACTCATTTGCAGGGATGAAAGTGTTGAAGGAATTCGATATTATGATAATTTAATAATAAATTACGTTTGGAAAGGAATTAATTAACTTATTTATTTGACATAAAATTTATTAATCAAATATATATTAATGGTATTAATCTATTTCCATTGTATCCTCTTCTTTTCTTGTTTCAACATTCGAAATCTCAATATTTTGTTCTTGATTTATTATTTCTTTTCTCTTCCCCTTATTCACAATAACGGTATCATTTTGATTATTACTTTCATTACCATCATTTTCATCATCATCACTATTATCATGGAGATTACTTTTAATATTAAATAGTTCTTGATCATCTAAAGAAAATTTTTTTTTGCTTATTGAATATTTATTTTCCCATTCATTATCATCGTCAATATTAAATTGATTTAATTCACTCGTCTTGTCTAAATTAATCTCTTGTAAATTTACTTGAGAAAATTTTATTTTTTTTGTTGTTTGACATTGATATGTAAGTTTTTGTTGTCTCGGATTAATTGGATCTTTTTACATAATAATAAGTAATAACGAGCAAATTAATAAGTAATAACGAGCAAATTTATTAAAAAGTATTATTGAGTATACTTGGTTTTGAAATAGAACTGATATATACCTGGTTCCGGAAAAAATATTAAATCAGTTCCAATAGTTTCATCATATTCACCTTTAAAATGTATATTACCTATACGTAAATAAGGTGTATCCGTATCTAAGCCCTATGTAAGATTAGGTTGATTACATTTTATTGTATCCAAATGAATTATTTATATTATTTATAAGTTTTATACTTACAATTAGTGAATAATCAATGTCATTATTTTCTTTTTTATTATTAAAATTGGAGGGTTCGTCGCCAACACTTTCTTTTTCGTTATTTGCTAAAGGTTTTATGTAATAATGAAAAGATTTTTGAGAATGATTTGTTGTTCTTGTTGCTGAAGTTGAAGCAGTAGCATCATTGGTTTTATTGTTAATATTATCATGAAGGTCAGAACTGGAAGATTGTTGTAGAATTGAAGTCGATGAGGATAAATGATCTTGATTTTGATGATTACGATTTTGATTAAAATTGAATGAAGAAGGATTTATATTGTTTAAGATTTCGAAATTATTCGTTATCATATCTAAAGTTACTTCTGTACCAAGGTCAATTATTATGTAAGAAACCTGTCAATTCAAAAAAGTTTTGAAAGAAAGGGTTAAGGTTAACTGAATTTGGGTTAATTAGAAAATTAAATGAGAAACTTTTAATTAAAAAGATTTAGAAAAGATATTAAAGAAATTACCTCTTCTTCATATTCATCGCTATCCGAATTATCGTTTGATATATTTGAATTATTAGAGGTTGGTTCTTCTAATTCCATATTTAACACAGATTAGATAAAAAATTATATGATTTTCAGGCGTTTTTATGATTTTCTAAATATAGAAGAATAATGATTTCCTCGTGGCAAGTAATGAGAGTCAAGTGTGGGAATATGTAGTTCTATGTTGACTGAATAGGCAATCGTTGGCTGAAATTAATACAATATTTGTCACGAGGTGATTGACTTTTGTAACGTAGATCTTCTAAACAAGGTTCTTTTCGTCAAGGATTTTCTGTTTTCGTTTTCTTTCGTATTTCTCAACAGTACGATTATTTATTGTAGGACCGATTATAAGTCATAAAGAGTTAATATTAGAAAATCTGTGAATTTTTTTTTTTTACGTTAATAATTATATTTTTTTTTTGTAAATGTTTAAGTAACTTCTTACTTTAAGTTGTGAAGGTATAAGTATAAAATTTTATTATCTATTATTACATTGTATCATAAAAAAGGAGATTGAAAGGAGAAAATCCAAAACATTAAATTCAAAGAAATAAAGAAATAATAATCAAGAAAGTCTTTTGGGCTTAACCGAAAGAAAAACAATACCAAAAAATTCAGACTATAGTCTTTTTTTTGCAAAACCGGGAAATTTTTGATGGTTATCAACCAGTTTTATTATAAAGACCCTTAAAATTAACTTTTCCTAAAAAATTTAAATCATTCAACCAAATGTTAATATGCAACGTGTAAAGTAATGCGACTTAGCCTTGCTCTTATTTTCAATTATGGATAACTGTGATGTGATACCTCAAACTAGAGTTTGCCATGCAAGGCCATGCTTTTTTTAAAATTTTTAATATGGTTTTTTCTAATATACATAAATCGACTATAATCTTACACTGACTTACATATTTGTATTTTGTATTATTTAAAAAAAAGCAGTTTTCGACCAGGATATTCCTTCATTTAGATTAACTTATATATTATCGTATATATCTATATATGTATATATATATATATTTATCTTGAACTTTATTTTTTTTTTTTTTCGTGACTGACTTTGGCGTAATAAACTTGCCCTATATATATTATCATCAGTACAGTATATTTTATTTATTTATTTATTTTTTTTTTTTTTAAAAAAAAAACCCCCATCTTAAATAACCTCTATTTATTCGGTTAAAGATCTAAATATTTTCAATAAAAGAAAAGAAAAAAAATTTTTTTCCTATTTAGTTTCACAATGACTTCTACAAGACCAGAAATTATGGACGAAGAAATTTCACCATCGGACCATTCACATTGTAATTCTGACTTATCTGATACTGAAATGAAAGAACCAGCGGAATCGCCAGACTTTTATTCTGCAAGAACTTCAATGGCAAGTACACCCACAACAGATTATTTTCCTGACAGTGAAGAAGAACTTTATGATGACGAACCAAGTGATCTTCCTTCTATTCCAATAAATTATAATCGAGGTCGTCGTACTTCTGTAAGCGCTGAATCAATGGCTCCTAGTCAAGATAAGGATTATGTTAAAGTTGTTATTCCAAAAACACAAGAACAAAGAAAACGAATAGAAAATTCTATTGAAAATAATTTTTTATTTAAAAATCTTGATGAAGAACAGTATAAAGATGTTATTGACGCTATGGTTGAAAAAAGAGTTTCAAATCATGAACAAATTATTAGGCAGGGTGGAATTGGTGATTTTTTTTATGTTGTAGAAACTGGTACCTTTGATGTTTACGTTTCCAAAAATGGTGCTCCACCAGAAAAAGTTCATAGTTATGGTCCCGGCGGTAGTTTTGGTGAATTGGCCTTAATGTATAATGCTCCACGCGCTGCTACTGTTGTTGCTACTTCGGACTCTGTTCTTTGGGCTCTAGATAGAGTAACTTTTAGAAGAATTTTAATGGAAAATACTTCTCGTAAACGCAAAATGTATGAATCATTTCTTGAAGAAGTACCAATTCTAGTATCATTAGAGCCTTATGAAAGACATAAAATTGCTGATGCATTAGAGTCCGCAGTTTATGAAGATGGTCAATTGGTAATTAAACAAGGTGATATTGGTAATAATTTCTTTCTCATCGAATCTGGTGAGGCTAGTGTAATGAAAATTGATGAAGAAGGAATTGAACATGAATTACCTGGCTTGAAAAAAGGAGATTATTTTGGAGGTATACAAAAAAAAATTATAATTAAAAAAAAAAAATTTTTTCTTTAAAATTTTCTTAACAAAAAATTTCTTGTCACTCTTTACAGAACTTGCTTTACTTAACAATAAACCTCGCGCCGTAAATATAAAGGCAAAAGGTCGACTAAAGGTTGCTACATTAGGCAAAAAAGCCTTTGTCCGATTGTTAGGTCCCGTTGTCGATATCTTGAAACGTAACAGCGATAATTATGAGACTATCACACGTAATGCTCGCCAACAATAGGAATAGCAAATATTTCCTTCTTGACCCTCTACGTATTACTGCTGTCTTGACCCGCATATTGTTTTACATATAGAGGGGTCAAGAAGGGATGTATATACAGGGCCAGGAAGGTAATCTTTGCATTCTTTTTTCAATTTTTTTTCTCGTTTTTACTAATATACATATATATATATATAAAAAATAAAAAATATAAAAAATACGTCCATTATTGTATAGCATATTCATTTCTTTGGATGTAAATTTGAGTTCTTGCATTTATCCCTATTACTTGATAGATACACTCATTCCTTCTTACTTAACCCCACCGTTTTCATTTCCCTTCGTAATTTTTCTTTTTTTTTGTGCTTTTATCGGGATTATACAGATTTGAATGACTCAATAGAATTATTTGTTATTTAAATCATTTATATTTTATTTCTTTATTTTTATTTTCGGGAAATATATTATATGGGAGGGTTTAAACATGTATGTAGAAATTAAAATTGTAGAAATTTTTTTTTATTTCTTTTTCCTTTGTAGACCGACCACATTTTCATTGAAAAAAAAAAAAAAACAAATATGATTATTTTTTTTTTATATATAATTAATATATGACGAGAATAATCATGGCTCATCGAAATTTTTTATTCCTTCTTCAAGAGCATCTCGACTTGGTATTGAAGTGTTGATGGTTAATAGATCATTTTTATTTTTATTGGTAGAGAATTGACACCATTCGGGAGCAATTTTAGTTAATAATTTGAAATGTTCTACTGCTTCGTCTAAAGAAAATATTCTTTTTTAGTATATATAATAATATAGTATTATACAAATAGATATAGAATTATTAATACATACACTCTGATATTGGTATTTTCGAACTTTCTGCAATTCTTGTTGCAGCTTCCTTCACAGACATAACTGTTCTGTTATTTGAAATATATATACTGATAAATGTTAGGGTCAATAATATATAGTTGAATATTGAATTTAAAATTTTATTTTATTCTTTTTTCTAACAAAAAAAAAGGATACAATGTAAGGGAACTTGCAATTTCCCGAGCTCGGCTTAGCATGGTTTTTTGTTTCTTTTTGAGAAGTTCCGCTCCTTCTAATGTTTCTTCGATCGTCTTCTGTCCTTTCGCACGAACCTATGAAAAGATCATTTTAATTCGCATCAAAGTTATCGTATAAAAAAGAGGCCTTAATTACATACTCTTTCGATTAATGCTCGGCGACGGTGTGCCGTATCAGCTCTCTTTTTCGGTTTAATTATAGGCGCGCGCTTCACGGGCTTATTTTCTTTAAATATTTTATCCTTAATTAAACGATCTTTAGATTTTTCATCTTTAGTTCTAGACATTTCATCTTTAGTTAACCGAGCTCTAGATGTTTCATCTTTAGTTAACCGAACTTTAGATGTTTCATCTTTAGTTAACCGAACTTTAGATATTTCATCTTTAGTTAAACGAACTTTAGATGTTTCATCCTGATTAAAAGAAACAAATACATAAGAATATATTAAATATCTGATGATAATTTTCGCCTGCTTAGTAGAAAAGAATTTACGAACTAATTATTTTACCTTCTGGCTTCTAGTTCGAGCCTTAGTTGACGTAAAAAACGAGGAAACTATATGACTTTTTTCGGTTTTTATTTTACCCATTGTTTTAATTATAAGTGACTTTGGCGAAAAGAACTTTTAAGAAATATCCAAACTTTAAAAAGGTTAAAAAAAAAGTTGATGGAACTTCAGTGCGGGAAATGAGCCCTTTTTATATAAAATTCGCGTTTTATTATACGCGTTTTTCCGCGTTAGCTCTTTCTTGAACATCATGCAGTTATGCAACCAACATGTGTAATTGTACGACAATAGTTTATACAACAGTCATTAAATATTAATCATTGGGTAGAAATATCACCGAACTGCCGCTCACGCATGGCCGTACAATTTAAATTCAACACGTAACGCTAAATGATTGTTAATTGATCGATCAATCACAAGACTTGAAATGTTCTTAAACTAAATTCTGACATCAATAAAATGAACGATCCAGTTATTCACACTAACATGTGACTTCTTAGTCAACCTCTGAAGAAGAAACGCCATAATGAAGAGAACTTCATTTTCTATTCACGACTCAGTCATACTGAATATATTAGGCTCACTATTATGTTATTCCCAAATAAAGATGCATATTACAAAAGAATGAAAGATATAGAAAATGTTACAACTTCTTACATTGTTATGGGTTGTTCAAAAGAAGAATGATCTATGACAAAAAAAGAAATTAGAGAATGATGAACAACCAGACAACTAGACATAATATCAGCTAAATAATACTAATAATATAATATTCTTTTCAGGACTTATTTTTACATTTTAATATTATTAATAATGATTTATTGGAGTAATCTGGATTGAATCACCAAATACTATATAGTATACCTCATATTTAAGAATTTTAAAAGGCATATTAATAATTATTTAATTACTTTATAAAGGAAAGTATCATAATACAAATACTATCATTGTCAAATTGGTCAATTTTCTACTAGTATTTATATAATAATATAATTTTAATTTTCATTAGAAAATGCCTTTTTACATATTAAAAAAAATGTTACTTTAAAACTGAAATGAATTTTCTTATAAAAATCTATTAATATAAAATATTAAATTATATTTATCTATTTTTTCAAAGAAATTCATTATAAAAAATATAATATATACAAAAAAACTAATTCCAACTAAATTATATTCCTTCTACAATAGACATATAATGAGGAACGAAAACAAATTGTATCATGTAATTTTAAATATGGATATATGATTAATGTTCCATGGTCTTTAGCTTTATTATAAGCTAATTTTGTTAATCTTTGAAAATTTGAAGAATTTTTTGAACATTGATGAATAGAACAAGGACCAAGTAATTTTTAAGGTTCCATTTAGAATGTATTTTGGGAAATTTTTTTATTAATCTTAGAAAATAAAATAAAAAAACCGTCGCTAAGCCTGTAATCACGTGATAAAATTTTCAACCAATAAAATTGACTATCCAATAATATTGCTAAACAAACTTGATCAGCACAGCCAATCATTAGGACTTTTATCTATGCTAACAATAGGTACAGTGACGTCACATCACAACCTTTTAAAACTCGCAAGTATGTCTGAGTCGCAAATGTATTGTTCTTATACGTGTACGACATACTATCTTATACGACCTATATTATGTGACATATACGTCGTATAAGAACATAGCACCTGATCGTATAAGAACGATACATTTGCGTCTGAGTCTCAGTTTCCCCGTTCTTTGTTTCCTCAATTCACAGAACAACAACTAGAAGAAGCAAGTAAAAACTTCAAGTCTTCTGTAAATTGGACCAGTTACAAAAAGTGGATTTAGGACGGAGAACCTTTCGTAGAACACGACGAAGTAATTAATGATTTGAAACTCGAAAATGGATCTGGATCTCAGAGAAGACCAGCTGGTAAATATATAGATCTATTGATTTATATTCACTCTGCTACTTCATTTTCATGTATATATTTGGTTAATAAAGTCAAATATATAAAATTTTTTAAAGGAACCGGACGAAGTGACGTTGACAACAGCAGAGAACGTCGACATGAAATTAGCTCTCACCATAGTGCCAGGAAGACAACTCAAAAAACCGGGAAAAAAGGCAATAGAAACACTTTATTAATAAGAGCCAAAACCACCTGAAGCATTTGGTTTGTGTATTGTGATAGTGTTGGAAATTGTATCGGATCCAGAATTTTTACTACAATATTCACGGGGACAACGTCCTAATTGGTTGTAATATTAAGGGAAAAGTTAGAGAGTTTAGAATTGTTAATAAAGCAACTGGTGAAGTTGAACTTATTGGACGAAAAATCGGTTCTTACAATATTGTGCCAAAAGAATCGTATATGTATACATTAACTTTACCAGATTATCATTATTTAATGTTACGGCATTTAAAGGATAGATGGTTTAGATGTTTAGCTTACTTTTCTGATCATGATTCTTATTCAAATTTTCCAAACATATTCTATACTAACAAGACCTTTGTTTGACAAAGAATGAAGCAAGAATAGCAAATAATTTTTTATAAAATAATAAATCAAAGACGCGTTTTTACATTGCTATATATTTTTTCGTGTCCGCAATAAAGTCTTAAAGCCTTACCCTGGCGTAAAAGTGTCGAATCTGAAGATGTCTATCGTTGCAAGACAAAATCTTCACTTTGTCCATCATGTGAGACGAATTATAAAGAAAATATAGTAGGTGAATATAAGAAGAAAGGGGCGGAATCGTCTTATAATTTACGTTGCATCTATAGGACTCGAGGTAGTAGGCTAGATCGCTCACCTGAAAATGCGCAGTATGATATCGGAAAAATTCTTGCCAAAAGAATAGGGCTGTGCGACGTGCGAATCGTATATATTCTTGATAAATTAATTTTTTAATTCAGTAAAACCAATATTATCATGAATGCAATCTTATTTCGCATATAGGATTTGGGGATATCTATGCGAGGTCTGAGACCATCTGCTAATTTTGAAGCCATCTTTATTGATTTTTAAGGAGGATAATGAATGACGAAATGCAATGCGTCATTACTAGGCTTTTTGACACATAGATTTCTGGAAAGTCTTCTAGGTAGGTGCCCTAGTAGCCCTAGTAACTCTAGGAAAAATCGGAACTTCTAAACTTTTTTTTATTTTTTAGCATACAGTATGTAATATTACGCATATACTGTATCATCCATATAGTATCCATATACCATCCATATAGCATACATATGTAGCATAGGAAAAGTTTTGAATAACTTTATTTTTTACTAAGGATATTAGGGACACTAGGGACAGAAAAAAACCGTCCCAATTTATATCCTAATATCCTAATAATGTCTGAAAACATGCCACCGGAGGCAATATGAATGCACTCTAATGATTCGAACTTCAGGATGCGAAATTGGTTACTTATACCGGCGCAATAGTTGGGTGCACTTCTGGCAATCAAATAGGCCGGACAAAGATAATACATATCGCACCTCCAATTCTCTAACCAACTGACCACCAAACCGGACCCTTGAAAGTGACGAGAAAGTGCCAGGAAGGTTCTGGGGCTCAAGGCGCAGTAAATTTTTATTCAACTTCAGCTGACATTATTACACAATTTTGGCCAGAACAATGAGGCGCAAAAATGGCAAACATATACCAGCAACCAAGAGGTATACATATACCAGTAGCTAATAGGCAATGGATGGGTTGCAAAATGTTGCATGATTTTTTATTTTTTTTACCTCTGACCCACAGGTCAGTGAAAGTCATGTGACCGGTGCAGTAGACGCAATTTACCCCAGTATCACCTAGGGATGGTTAGGTCGGTCCTGGTCCGGTCCTGGTCCTGGGACCTATAAGTCCTATTGAACGGACCTGCGGACCAGGTCCTGTTAGGACCAGTCCTGGACCTGGTCCCAGGACCTGGTCCTGACTAAGTTATTTATAGATTTTATGAATTTTAGTAATAATTAAATATAAAAAAAGTGAGTTGCAATATCGGGATTCACTTTTTTATATTAATTTTATATAAAAAAAGTGAGTTGCGGTATCGAGATTCACTTTTTTATATTGATTTTATATAAAAAAAGTGAGTTGCGGTATCGCGATTCACTTTTTTATATTGATTTTAATATAAAAATGTGAATCGCAATATCGCAACTCATTTTTTATATGATTTTAATAATATAAAAATTGTATTGCAATATTGCAGTGCACTTTTTTATAATTTATAATTACTTAAAATCAAATTTACAGCAAATTATACATATATAATTTAAACATATAGATCTCTTATAACCTTATTGGCTAGGACTTTTTAGAACCTGGTCCGCTTCTAGTAAAAAATTTGGACCTAAAGATCTGCAGACCAGGTCCTAGGACCAGGTCTTTAGGTTCAGGACCTAGAACTTTACCATCCCTAGTATCACCCCAAGATTTCTAAGTAAAATTCCACCCTCACGTGATCAGTGATGTTTAAGGGGCGTGAATAAAATTTTTTTCACCACTAAAAATTTTCAAGTCCTCAGAATACTTATGAAAAAATGAAAATGGTATGTATGATGCTGGGTGACATTTTATGCAGGTCATGTGGGGTGAAAAATCTTGGGGCGATGCTAGGAAAGATAGTAGACGCAGTAGACGTAGTAAAAATTCATTTAAATTCGGCCAGCACTATTCCCTAAAATTTCAGGTTTACATTAGACTATATTGGCTGATCAGAAAAGCCCCCATAATTTTATATGCTAGTAACCCATCATGAACCTATCAACTGAGCTTAAATATTAATTGGCTTGATTTTTCCAATCAGCCGATATGCAATATTTTAGCAAGCGAACTAATAGAAATACTCTAGTTTTC